TTCTCGCAATCACATTCAACATTGCGCTTCGCTAACATTGACTCTTAAAATAATCGGATTGCTTTAATGTTTAAGTACCCGGGTTTTTACGCTTGCAGTGGCGCCCCACCTCCCGGTGACACAGAGGCGGTTCTTGTGCGAAAAAATGCTTGCAGCCTGGGCACGGATCTAAGCAATTTTATATTGGGTGTCAAAATATCTGACGTCGCGCGTCGCGTGGCAACATGAACACTGCGGGCGCGCGCACGAAGGCGAGTTGGTGCTTTTCTTTACTTGTGAAACAAGTGGCGCGAATTTTACCAGGGGACCCCAAGCTAGTATGTTCATAAGCATAGCCTGGCGTAATTAAACCCTCTAAAACGCGCAAATAGGCGTGTTTATGCGATTTTACAATCAAATAATCAGATTTTACAATCTAACTCAGCGCGCGGCTCTTGTAGTGCATACGTCACTTCTTTTTTATTGTTAGTTGGCGTGCACGTGATCTTTTGCGCGGCTGTAATTGGTTCATAACGATCACGTGAATGCTAGTCCAATGAACATTTGCACTTTTTAGGGCGATGAAAGTCGTAATTCACTCAGCCCGAATAAAGATTTGGCGGAATGCAGAATGACAGGCTGAGCGCCGCCCAGTAACGCGAATTGTAAGCACCCTGTCACCCGATCTTGAGGTGACGTACGACACTTCGTTTAACAAACTAATTAAAACGTTTTCTGTTTCCCGCTAGGCTCATTGGACCAGGTGAGCTTGCATGCTTGTGAATGCGATTGTAAGTACAGCTGTACTGTAGTTTATACCTAATTACCCCTACTGCAGAAACTGCAAAGTGCGGGAAATTTTGGGAACCAATATATGGTTGCCAAAATCGATGGAGGGTTGGCGGCTAGATCAAAGCTCAACGGCTCTGGATTAGGGGTGGACGATAAAACAAACTTGCTCAGATTTTAAAATTTTTTGTAATACTGTTTTCTAGAGACTGTGAGAATTTTCACAATACCAAATTTGTTATACCTTTTTGGAAAGATCAATGAGTTTCGCCTCACTAGCTGGGTGCCATTTGCTCTATCCAGAGCCCTTGCGCTTGCAGTAGCGCGCGCTCACTCAGTTCTTGACGTACTTGTGAAACAAGCGCGCCTGAAGTGGCGCGAAAGCACATGGTTAGGTGAAGGGTGCCATATTTGATGGTGCGCGGCTTTTGGAGCAAAAGTAGATGTAAAGGTCGCGTAATTTGACCAAATTCGTTGATTTTTGTCGTATTATTTCGGACACTTTCCTCGTAAGTTTATGAGTACAGAGTGAGCTCACCAATTTCTGTTGCAATCGGAGGTCGGGAAGGATACTCAATATCTATTTGTTTGAAGAAAATTGTGCTGGCCGAAATTAGCGCTAAAAAACTATCCTACTATACAGTCGGCACGCGCGGCTCACTGTTGTTGGCGCACTACCTATCTGGATAGAGCAACGGCAGCACGAAGGCACATGGTTAAGTTAGGTGCAAAATAATCGAACATGCAGAAACTCTTAGCTTTATTGCATTGTATATCATGTGTACGCTTATTTTTGTATAAAAACCGCGACCGGCTCTTGCTAATTCGCTCGCCCAAAAATTTCACGTGACCTTGGTTTTTATGGTTTTGCAACCGTACAAAACAATTTTACATAAACCCTAATCCCAACCATAACCCCGAAGCTATCCATAACCCGCGTACCTTAACCCAAACCCTAACATGAGCCCTAAACAATCGAAATCATGTTTTACTAGCCTGTCACGTGACTAAAACGGTTTTTGCCCATGTAACTCTCCAGGGAAATATTTTTACCCTACGTCATGGCGGGTGATTCGGGATCAGCGTCCAAAAAATACACCGATTTAGATCAATGTCATACCCAAAGGTGAAAGGCCTTTTCACAAGAATTTTCTTAAAATTTGGGCGAGCGATTTCGTAGGAGCGATTCAAACGCGCAATCTGGCGCGGTTTATTTGTTGCAGTTTTACTATCTAATAAGTTATTATTGGTGAGATAGCTTGTAAAGTTTGGTTATTAAATAATCAAATTTTACAAGCTATCTCACCACGCCTGCACGCGCACGGCTTTACTAGCGTATATATACATTACTTTTTTCCTATTGGTACTCAGCGTGCACTTGTTTTTATGTCCACGATTAATTATGAACAAGTACGTGAATGCTGGTCACGCACACACTAACTTTCAATGAGCACCGCACTTTTTTCATGTTTCAGACGTCGTGATTCGCTCAGCCCGACTAGAGATTCCTTGGAATGACATAAACAGGCCTGTCATACTCGTTGACAGACTGAGCGTGGCCCAGCGCAATAATTTAATTTCATATACTATATTTTTCTTTTGCAAGTTCTGAATGTGAAGTGTGTATGACTGATGACGCAGCGCGTATCGACCGCCACCAGGACAACCACCACCATTAACAACATATAAATAAACGCTTGCAAGCGCTTTACAATTTCTGACAATTATTGTCGGAGAACTTTGCCGCGCCGTGCACTTAGCCTTCTTGCTTGGCTTCTAGATCGCCAGTCAAACAACTATGTTTAAATCCATGTTGATAAATGATAGATAAATCGGTAAAAACCAGAAATAAAAAGTGATTGTAATCGCTTATAACTTATAACCGCTTTTCAAATCCTTAGGGGCAGCATTAAAAAAGCGCTTATAAGCGCTTTCTAATTCCTGCCAACCAGCCCATGGGTGATGGGAAAAGCGGTAGATAAGCGATCATAAGCGCCTATAAGCGCTTTTAAATCCTGACTCTGCCGGTGCACCGCAGTTTGCTCAGAAAAGCACATACGAGTGGGCACTCTCCAGTTCCGACCAGGTTGAAGGGAATTGAGAAATCGCTTATAACTATAAGCGCTTTTAAATTCCGGGCACTCCCCCGTTCCGACCAGGTTAGGGGCAGCATTGAAAAAGTGCTTATAAGCGCCTTTTAATTCCGGGCACTCCCCCGTTGCGACCAGGTTAGTGGCAGCATTGAAAAAGCGCTTATAAGCGCTTTCTAATTCCTGCCAACCAGGCCATGGGCGACAGGAAAAGCGGTAGAAAAGCGATCATAAGCGCCTATAAGCGCTTTTAAATCCTGACTCTGCCGGTGCACCCCAGGTTGCACAGAAAAGCACTTATAAGCGGGCACTCTGATTTCTAGTTCCGACCAGGTTAAGGGGAATTGAGAAATCGCTTATAAGCGCTTATTAATTCCAGGCACTCCCCCGTTCCGACCAGGTTAGGGGCAGCATTGAAAAAGCGCTTATAAGCGCTTTCTAATTCCTGCCAACCAGGCCATGGGCGATAGGAAAAGCGGTAGAAAAGCGATCATAAGCGCTTTTTAATCCTGACTCTGCCGGTGCACCCCAGGTTGCTCAGAAAAGCACATGCAAGTGGGCACTCTCCAGTTCCGACCAGGTTGAAGAGAATTGAGAAATCGTTTATAAGCGCTTTTTAATTCCGGGCACACCCCCGTTCCGACCAGGTTAGTGGCAGCATTGAAAAAGCGCTTATAAGCGCTTTCTAATTCCTGCCAACCAGGCCATGGGCGATAGGAAAAGCGGTAGAAAAGCGATCATAAGCGCTTTTTAATCCTGACTCTGCCGGTGCACCCCAGGTTGCTCAGAAAAGCACTTATAAGCGGGCACTCTGATTTCCAGTTCCGACCAGGTTAGGGGCAGCATTTAAAAAGCGCTTAAGAGCGCTTTTTTATTCCGGGCACTCCCCCGTTCCGACCAGGTAAGGGGCAGCATTGAAAAACGCTTATAAGCGCTTTATAATTCTTGCCAACCCATGCCATCGGTGATAGGAAAAGTGGTAAAAAAGCGATCATAAGCGCCTATAAGCGCTTTTAAATCCTGACTCTGCCGGTGCACCCCAGGTTGCTCAGAAAAGCACATGAAAGTTCCAACCAGGTTAAGGGGAATAGAGAAATCGCTTATAAGCGCTTTTAAATTCCGGGCACTACCCCGTTCCGACCAGGCTAGGGGCAGCATCGAAAAAGCGCTTATAAGCGCTTTTTAATTCCTGCTCACCTGGCCATGGATGATAGGAAAAGCGGTAAAAGCGGTGAAATAGCGATGAATTAGCCGTAATAAGCGATTTCTAAAAAAACGCTTATAATCGATTATAAGCGGTTATAAGATGTAATATAGCGTTTTCCTGACTCAATTTTAAAAGCGCTTATAAGCGCTTTATTTGCGCTTTACAAACAGCTAAATTGCACCCCAATTATAAGCGCTTATAATCGCTTATAAATGGTTCAAAAAAGCGCCTACGAATCGCTTATCCGGCCAACCGCTTATCCACCCGTTTTTGGCGCCAATCCTACTGGAAAACCGCTTTCAAATCGCTCAGCGACGCTAGTAAGCGCTTAAAAGCGCTTATAAGCGCTTTTAAATTCAAAAAAGCGCTTTTTTGAATTATGACACCAATTATAGTCGATTATAAGCGATTTTTTTTGAACCGTTTATAATCGTAAAAAAAGCGATTGTAAACGGTTTTAAAAAAAAAAAGCGCCGAAAAAGCGCTCAATAAGCGATTATCGGCGCCGATCATAAAATATCGTTTATGGAAACTTGCCCAATTTTGTAAATTTATAACTTTCAGAACACAGATTCACGCTGAGTTTGTGGTGTGTATGGTGAATGATTACTAGTACTGGACTAGTCGTGTATGAAACAATGCTTTTCTATTTTCCAGTGACAGGATCGTAGCAAAACTACAAGCTGCATGGAAAGGCGAGGATGGGCATCATCAATCAGCTGAGTCTAATATTTCAAATACATATTGTACGGGTATCGCCCGTTAAATGTTTAAAGTTGCACTTCAATTTGCTTAAATTCCTATTACACAGCTTGCTTATCTTGTGTATAATATGAAAGACATTAAAGTGAAACAAATGCACACAGAGAGATCAATGGCGCGCCAGGTACAAATTTATAATCATGCATCGTCAATAACAAATAAGACACGATATATTCTGAAAAGAAGGTATATTTACAATCTAATTTACAATGCAACTCTTTGGTAAAATCTGATAATATTTTTAACGGTTCTGTCCATCATAAAATCGGAAAATTTTAATAGAATTCCATCCACAAATCATAAGAACTTCTTTAGTTTATCTTGGAAATAAAATAGCAGATTTTCTAACATATTTAGACTTTCGAGACGAAAAATATTTTGTTATTATTAGTACACGATTCAAAAAATCATGCAAACTTGGCGATAACTTGTATATCAATTATTCATGCATGGATATTGGATACAGGGTATCAGTAATAAAGTTTCTGCTACCAGGCTATACTTAATTAAACCAGAATAATCAAACTTTATAAAGTTTCAAAGTATTTCTGTTCCAGTTATTACATACCACGGTGTGATTATCCAATCATCTAATTATAAGTAATCACCTAATATTTAATAATAACAAAGCGGGAAGATTAGTGGAAGTACTGGTGGAAGTAAGCTTCGCGGTACCTCTGTTTCCTCTCAAGTTTCGGGTCTCTTAGCTGAAAGAAAGAAAAAGTTTAAATAATATGTACACTGTACACTGTACTCACTAATCACTATTTCACTATTTCATTATTTCACTATTTCACTATTTCACTATTTCACTATTTCACTATTTCACTATTTCACTGTATTTAGTACTGGTGTGTAAAATGATTGTTATGGCTGCTGATTTTAATAATATACATTAAAGCTGATAAAACTTTGGAGATTTTATCTGGCGATACAGAAAAATAATCTAAAAAATGTTCCATATAAGCATATAGACCGAAATGTATACTTAATTCGTAATCTTGGACGAATTTTTTAGCAAATATTCTCAAAAAGTCAATTATCATTAATTATTAATTGTTTGTAAATGTCTTACTAAATTCTTACCATCTAATATTATTCCTGATGGTTTAGAATGCTAAAGACACATTAAGACAGGATATTATCATTATATTCCATGCTAAACTTCAAGAGAGTAACACTCTTACAATAAAGCAACAACGCTAAAAATAGTTGAATACATTATAAAATGAAATTATTAACTGTGCATTAGGTCCTGAGCCAAAATATTAAACTTTTAAAAATTATTATCAACGTAAATGAAATATCACGGCTTACAACGTTTCGTCTTTTATTATTGTTCAATTATCTTGCAAACGTCATGACGCTGTTTTAGTTTATTTAATAGTTCATCGGTATATTCACAAAATTTTGGTTTATAATTGTAAAGGATCACTGTTGAGTACACTCTGGCTCTGGATATTCCAAGGTAAAGATTTTGAATATGGAAACTGCCTGCTGCCTTCTTATCACTGTTAAAATATGAAATGTGTTTGTAAATATAGATAACAGCAGCCCACTCTGCTGACATACAGTTCACAAATAAGCGCACCGTTATCTTGTCCTCTGTAGTGTTCCATCTCTCTAATACATTGTCAACAACACTTTGTTTATGTTTGAAATCATCTGCATTGACTGCATCGACAAGTACTGCAATATCCTTGTTTTTAAGACAACTGTCAGATCCTCTTAGTTTCTCTAGCTCCCTAATCAGAATATCTCTCCACGTAGTAGTTTCTTCATCTCTTATTACATAAAAGACAGCTTTAGAACCACGAAGAAAATGTCCACTCCCTTGTGGAAGTTTAACTAGCCCGATTCCAGTATAATGAATTTTCTCGTAGTACTCTATAACTATTGACAACACGGCAGATATTTCGTATGTGTTTCTAAGATTGACTATCAAATCTTTTGTTTTCAAGAAAAAACTTTTGAATTCCTCAAGAATACTCTTAACCGAATTAAATTCATTCTGGCTACCGAAGACATGTACTATACAAATCGTCATGTCACATTGCATTTCATCACAAAATATCCATATTCTAGTGTTGTTGTTATCACTATTTCTCATAACAGGAAGTAGTCCCTGAGATATGAAATGTACATCAGCATAGCGCCTGTGGCAATGTTGTAGAAGGAGTTGGTAGTCATCTACATAAACGTAATCAAAGCTCGTTATACAGCTGTGAAAACCTCTAGCTGAACCACGTGATATGTACAGTAATACAATTTTACTGGTGACATCAGACAGGTGTTGTGACGAAGAACTACGCGCTTTCTCCGAACACTCACAATCTTCACATGGAAACGTGACATTGTAATGAATCCTCTGACACGTAATGTCATGTCTGATATTGTTGAGTAAATCCAGGTGACGTTGTAGTGCTGGATTGTAACCATTATATCCACCTAATATTAAAAGTATCCTAGATTCTGGTGGTGTAGTGAGAGCAAGGTGGATTATCTTACCCAGCATCACAACAGTCTTGCCTGATCCTGCTGGGCTCTCCACCCAGAGGAATCTCTCGTTACTATTAAATATATCTAACTGATCTTGTGTGAGACAGTTGATATTCAGATAATCTTTAAAGACATCTGGTGCTTCTTTCATTTCAGGATTTTCTGGATACTTCTTACTCTTTTGTTCCCCCTTTTTCTTTGAAGCACTGTTCCTTGCCTTATCGACTGATTCTCGTGTAACTAGTGCTCGTCTCAGTTTCTCATCAATATCTTTAATACATTCCGGCAGGCTACAATCACTTAATCTCCATGTATTCTCCTGGTTGATACACCACAACCCTAGAAGACTGCAACATAGTTTGTCTCTCCCAGTGTTCACATCAGTCATAGAAATGGGGCGAGATGAGAATGTTTCACAGCATTCCACAATCGTAACCAAGTTTTCTAGATCCTCAGCGAACAGTATTGTTCCATCTTTAAGATCACGCTCGTCTACCTCTTTTATCGAGATATTTGGGAATGCTGTGAATTCGTATATCATCACTAACGGGTCGATGGACTGGATTAAATCTTTCATCCGTTTCCTTTGTTTCTGTGCACTTTCACAACAACCTTTAAACTTAATACAGTCTTGTTCATTACCTTGGAACGATAATCCTTTGACCTCAAATACTGCTACAAAATTATCTCCTATGACGACAAAGTCACATTCTCCTTCAAGTTCCCTTGTTTGTTTCTTTGTCCTCTTGCACTGGTGATTTGGCAGAAAAGCAGAATATTGTCCGCAAGTGTACTCAATCTGATGAATGACAACACAATTTATCTTCGCCTCCTCAAAAGATCGATACAGTCTAACTTCAGCTTCATATCCAAGTTGATGTTTCTTTTCAGTTAGATTCGCCCCCTTTAACACGACATTTTCAGGGAGCCTATCTATAAACTTCGAATTTGGTATTGGTGGTATCATGATTGGTCCCGAAGTGTCATCTTTGATCACACAATACTTTTCTAAAATGTTTCTACCAATCTTGTTCTCAATTGTTGTACGAAGTTTAGAAGTCATTAATCTGATGAAAGGTGGAAATTAGATAAAACTGAATTACTTTAAGAAAGTACAGTTCCAGACAAAAAACACCGTACAGTAGCACGGGTGCTAAAAGTAGCACCGAACAGTAGCACGGGTGCTAAAAGTAGCACCGAACAGTAGCACGGGTGCTAAAAGTAGCACCGTACAGTAGCACGGGTGATAAAAGTAGCACCGTACAGTAGCACGGGTGCTAAAAGTAGCACCGTACAGTAGCACGGGTGCTAAAAGTAGTACCGTACAGTAGCACGGGTGCTAAAAGTAGCACTGCACAGTAGCACGTAAGCACGGGTGCTAAAAGTAGCACCGTACATTAGCACGGGTGCTGAAACAGTAGCAAGGGTGCTAAAATCTGGCCGCCGACAGCTCCAAATTGCGAATGTAATAACAGTAAAGCACAGCTCTCATATCAATCCGAATAACGTAATGAATAGAACTGGGTGAAGTATAAATAAATAAACAAAATGCACAATTCACCGGAGTGTCACGTGGCATGTGACTAGAAACAAGTAAGTAAGGGAACAAGTAAGTAGTGAGGCACTATATAATGGATTCTATATAATATGGATTCAGAAAGATAAGATGTGACGTAAGCTCAGAAATGGGTACAACACTTCAATAGCCTGCAGTTGATAAAGCAGTTACTTGCTCATGACTCGGATTTACGTAGAAACCGTGAGTCCTGTATCATGTTATCGAATCAAGAGATAATGCCGAGTTTCTGAATATACTGGATATGTAACATTGCTGTGAGACAAAATACGGGTTGTGTTACCAAGTTTGGGCCTTATCAGAGATTGCTGTGATTAAAAACTAAGGTCACATGATGAGAACAGTGGTCACGAGATCTCAGTTATAGTAAATCATAGTTCTTTATAAGTTATATGGCGTAATCGGGATACAAATATACTCTTAAAGGTGATTAGAGAGACTGTCTTGAAGATTCATAAATAAAATGTTTGACCAATTCTGACACGAATTTCGTGAGTTATTAAAGGGTTGCGTGTGGGTAGTTACTTCTGGGCCACCCTATATAATACCGTCATTCCCTCAATATAAAAATATCACGGCCCACAAATTTCTATATTTCTAGTTTTGTATCCTCTAGCCCGTGGGTACAGGCTGATTCTGATTGGCCTATAATGAGGGATTTTACCAACAATATGGCTGGAATATTATTTCAGCGGCGCGCCAGTATTTTGTAATTATTAGCATCTAGCAAACACTTGAAACGTAGTGATAAAGTGATGAAACTAGTGATAAAGTGATAAAGTGATAAAGTGGTGATAAAATGATGAAACTAGTGATAAAGTGATGAAACTAGTGATAAAGTGATGAAACTAGTGATAAAGTGATAAAGTGGTGATAAAGTGATGAAACTAGTGATGAAACTAGTGATAAAGTGATGAAACTAGTGATAAAGTGATGAAACTAGTGATAAAGTGATGAAACTAGTGATAAAGTGATGAAACTAACTTTAATTTTGGCGGTAGTTCCCTCGTGATGGTGAATCTCGGAGCAGTCCCTTACTTTTGAGAAAGCTTGCAGATACCTGGGGGAAAGAAGTCATTGAAAGGGGCATCCCAGTACTCTATTTAAATTATTATGCACGTGAAAATAAAATAACTGCTAGATCGATATAGTTTAGTGTGTAATCATATCTGTTAGCATTGATCGTCAACACACAACACCTGTTAGTCGTACTTATTATTATTATAAAACAGCGGCATACACACAAGTTATTAACGTCCTTACACTTGTTGCACTTTGCTATAACTCGTTCAGCTCACAAAACGTTTTTATTCTTAAAACTGGAAATAGTTGTACAGTGAAACAATATCGTGCTCCTTCATAAAACATATCACTCACGAGGGAGGGTATTTCTCTCCGTAAGCCGAGTGGAAGGAGTGGCAGTTTCTACACAAGGCTCGGGCTTTGTAAGTGAAATAGTCCCCAATTGGGGGTCTCTTGCAAGAATCACACTGAAATTATAGAGTTGTTAATTAAGTAACCAATGAATATTCAATATCTGAATATTTCCCTGGTATGTTGAACATTGTGAACAATAGGAACAAGATTAAGTTGGCCTCTGGGAATGGCTCTTAAATAAGCAGAGATCATCTAATTATATTCTAAGATATTAATTTATCATATATCTATTTTTTATTAACTAGTTTAACAAACTCACAATATCCTCGTTGTTTTGAACACATTTTATAGAGATCGTCTCCTTCAACTGCTGCTTTCCTCCGAATGATCCTGCAAACTCCACTCTTCTGAACCTTTTTACATCGTGCTCGTAAGTTCCGGGACTGAAAGTTGAGATATTGTTCAGTTTATAATAATATTAATTGTTCATAATTACAGTATAATAGTTTTAAAAAGATTACAAATTTGTTAAGTACTTCTATTTCCAACAAAACATGTACCTAATTAAACGCGCGGCGCAAAGTTGTAGGGAAATTGCCATGGAAACTGCGCCACGTTTCTGAGATATGATCTTCGCGCCTTACACAAACCAAATATTATTTTGAGACCAATGAGCCAAACTTTGATCACATGAGCTCGGATAACGATTACTCCGGAGCGATACAGCCGATGATCGATATACGATAACATTTCAAGTTTGTGTAATATTATGTGACATCATAATGTAAAGATGTAATATAACACTGAAACATACGCAGGCTGGTAGACAGTAGATTTGCCCTCTGGTTGAAATCTAAGAGAAGAGTTGTTGAAGGCTTCCTTGTTTTTCTTGACCGATTTCTTCTCCTCATTTTGGTAAGAAGTTGGGCCGGGAAACGTTAACTCTATTCCTCTGCTCAGATCATGGGCAAAATATCCATTTCTCTGGGAGTAAGAACTAAGTTATTTATGTATTTCTGATAATTATTTGTAATAGTTATAACCCAATTAATATCTTATGATAGTAAAAACTAAGAACAACATTGGAAAATTGCAATTATATAACAAACTATAAAGAGTTCACTCACACATTTCAAGTTTGGAATCCTGCTAGCAGTTCTGGCCCCTAGAGAATATCCCAGATTGTTTGTAGGTTTTGTCTTGATGTTGTAATCTATACTGTTGAACTGCAAAAGTAGAAAAACGTGACGACTTTTATTGTAATTTAATATTTATGTAATATTATGGTAACTTTAAACTTTTTTTATCTTATCAGCAAATTTGTGCGGTAATAACGTCACCACGGAAGTAATCCAATAAAGAAATAACAAACACGACTTAGTAGGGTAGATCGGGGTACACGTTCAATCGGGATTATACTAGAAGTGTACACCTATTAAGACGTGCACTTTACACACATACATTGTCTACAATACAACATACCTTGTCTACATTGTACTTGTCAGGTCCCAGATGGGTTTCACCTCTTATACCATCTAGATTGCCCAGTCTGTTGAAGGCACAATGATGGGGAAACAATTTCCGGTCTTGTGTAGTCCCAAAACTTATTGGTACTCCCTTGTCCTTGTTATCCTCTTCCATTAACATGGCTACTAACTGCGTTTATTTTATTAGAGGGGCTCGTAATTTTAAAGTTTTTGAGTCCTTGGTTATTGTTTGTACTGTCTGAGATTATCTTGTAATGAAAAAGGGAGTAAGAGAGGTGCGGAGTGGATTGAAAGAATTGTTTTTGAGAATTCATATTAAATATTGTTATTTACAAGTTTACAGAAATTTACAACCTGAAAGAATCTGAAGTTACTAGTTGTTAATGACAGGTTTAGTTCATTTATCCATCAAAATGATCTTTGTGGAATGTGGATTTAATAAAATTCTCAAAAGGAGCAAAAACCTCACATGTTTTTGTTAGATGCCCGCACACAAATATTCCCAATTTATAGTTTATATCTGAACAAACAGAGTAGTGACTTAAGTTAAAATCTGAATGCATGGGTGAAATCTGAAAAACCACATCGGATATCTCCAATCTCCTTAGTGCTTCCTCAAAACCTTGCTCAAGTCTCAAGCAAGTCTATTTCAAGCCTCGAGCTAGTCTATTTTAGGCCTTGAACAAGTCCTGTTCAAGCCTCGGTCAAGTCGTCGTTGAAATAGATATGGATAGCGGGTAACCAGTCCTCCTCGTTAAAGTTAAGCTCGTAGAACTCCTCATCCTCATCTTTAACACCGTTCTGTTCAAGTGTCTTCGTCATCGTTAGGTTCGTCCCTGAATAGCACAGATTTTTAATTATATTTGGTCCGATATTTTATGAGAATGTCATCGAAAATTTTAATTACAAATTTATTCTCATTTCTTTTAACTCTTTTTCGTTTAGGTTCTTTCATCCATTCGCAAATAAATTAATAGCTTTATAAGTTTGTACATATATATATTTGTTTAACCTATTTAGGGTATAATAATAATAAAGTGACTTTATTTACCGTTATATTTCCAGGTATAGCTGGCAGCATGTTTATTGTACTTGTAAAACCTGATTAGGAGATTAATAATTATTCATTGATTATGGAGGGTCTTATATTAATGAAATTGTTGGTTTGTCAATAATAGTTAATGCTTTAATAAATGACAATGTATGTGTGAATAACGTTCATAATTATAAACGATGATAAAAATGACAAATAATAAAATAAAGCTAAATCTTAATGTTTACAGCCTTTCAATACATAAGATATTTTTTTAAATGTATATTTTGTTCCTCCAGTTTTTCCTCATTGTATTTCCCCAGAGAGTGTTCTTACCTGTTGAGTATTTCCTCCAGAGTTTCCTCACTGCAAACCTCCAGAGTGTGTTCTTGTGAAGTCAGTGTGTTGATTATCCTTATCTTCCTAGTCTTTGTCGACAGGTGTCCAATACAGTAGCTCTCATCTAGGGGAACGAATTTAGTTGTGAGTTTAAATTGTAAAATATAATGTGATAAGAAATATTTACCATTGATCCATAATTTTCTCTTTTGCTAACAAATCGCATGTCCTGGCCCAAAAATATCATGATATCACGAGAATGGTAAAAATCTCAAGTAAATTTGTGGCAGCGAAAAAACCTCCATTTCTGGGGGAAGTTAGGAATTTAGAGAAAATACCTTTCCACCAAGGAGTACCGAAGTCATTGGCCCAAGAAGCACTAGGATAGGGTGGAGGAATGTGAATAAAGCGACCTTGTGGTGTATACGGCACTTCACAGCCCGTCTTTCCGTCTATGTGAGTCCGGATTTGGGGGTCAAAATCTGACTTCTGAGGGAGAGAAAGTAGGATCAGTTAGAATAAAGGAAATAATAAAATAATTAAAATTTATCCAATGATAACATATTTACTCGAAAAAATTCTTGATATACAACGAAACGAAATAGAACATAAGATGTTACTTTGTCGATTTCAGCGAAACACTCTAGAGACTCTGCGTTATTAATTTGATGCAGTTTTGTCATTTCAGTTTTGTCATTATCATTAGTTGGTGATGAGTGTTGAGAACTTGGTGATGTTGATATTTCAACAGTTGAATTACTGTGTCCATTTTTCTCGAATGGTGGAGGTGGTAGTGGCTCGCACTGTGAAATGTGAATGAGTGTGATATATAAATGAAAATGTGATTTTTATGTTAGGAGGACAAAATGAGCGTCTCCACTCAGTTTAAACAAAATACATCTGAAGGTATTGTTAAAGTTTTTCCTACATACATTTTTAATTTCGTTCTAGAAGTATATAAACCATGTGAAACCAACGAAGTGGCGTAGGATTAGTAAAAAGGAGATAAGCAGGTCATCCCAACACCGGGAATTAACTGTCCGTGTATCTTATTGCGTGCAACAAGTGTTATGATTTTAGGTTGTATAAAGAGTAGTTCAGGGTCAGCTTCAGGTCGCATGATTCATTAAAATGAAATATTTGATCACTTACATTAGTTCCATTGGTGTTGAACCAGTGTGAAATATCTTTTCCACCAGCGTTTAGTATGGGTTTCAATAGAATGTTACCTGAAAAAGTAGATATCAATGAATATGAGAATCTTGATAAAACGGTCAAGCAGTTTAGAAGAATAAACAACAAATTATTCCAAGAAGCCAGATTCCCTGTACTCTTAAAATTACAAAGTCACAGTGTCTAAATAATTTACCACCGTTCTTCTCCACAAGCGGGGTCAAATTGTAAACTTTTCCCAAGAAGCTGACCCAGAGATCCTTGCTGGAAGAATGTTGTTCAACTTCCAGTGGAGTGTAGTAACGCTGCTTGTAAGTCGGCGCCATCTTAAAGTAGGTTATAAGTAATTGTAAGATAATTAATAATTAATAGGAATGCGAAACTGATGTTAACTTATAAGGCGAAATCATAACAAATAGTGATTAGTGATGTATACATATACAATTAATTAGCATGTAAACAATGCCTTATTTCCAACGAACGCCTAACGCAAAATATCACGTATATTAAAAGAGTCCGATTCAATTTTATAAAATGATCATATTCATTTATACATACATATTTTTGGAGGCAAAATAAGCAAATTGATTATTTACTATCACATTTCAGAAAAATGTTGATTCACCTTCCCTTCAGTATTAAATCATTGCTTAAGATAATAATTAAAATATCGCAATTGCACAATATTTGCAATAGTCTTCAAAAAATAGCAAAAATATATCATATTATACATAAATTATGTACATTATGGAATCGCATTTTTGATAAATAAAATTCTCACGTCATACTGTAAAGCTATTAAAATTCTTCGGTCAGCAAAAACTTTGTAAACGAAGTAGTAATCAAGTCAAATATTTCCAAAATCCAAATTCAATTATGACTATGTAATACTTTTCTAGAAAAAAACCTACTTTTAAATTATTTATTCAGATAATATGAGAACAGTGTAGCTTTTATAGCGTGTAACGGATCTAATTTAAAACAGCCCACAAATAATATGATATAAAAACCATGTTATCAACCTCTTGATTTTGATTTTTTTGGTTTGTTTCTTTTCGGTACTGTAGTACTTCCAGAAGACTTCCCTGATATAACATTGTCTTTAGATTTCTTATCAGACCTCTTTCTTTCTTTCCTTCCATAGGGCTGATGTTTTTTGATGTACTCCTTCGTTTCCTCATAGGTGGTATATCGGCTGGTCGGCTTGCAATTCTCAATTTCAGAGTTCAGTATATTAGAGGTGATGTCAATTAAACCTCTAGTGAGGTTATACTGTGCCTTCATCATGTTCAGAAGGGCTATCTTATCAGGGTTCATAGCAGACAGTTCTTCAAGAGTTTTGGAGTCCAGAGTCATACCACTGAAGAGTGGTATGGGTCTCATGTTCATGTCTGCTCTCTGATTTTTACATTTACACCCACAGCAGGGAGGTTCGAATCTGATTTCTGTTAGTGAAGTCCGAGATTTTGTGACTGTTTCTAGTTCTGAAGAATCAGATATGGTTGTGACGTCCTCGGTGAAGCTTGAGTAGTTATATGTTTTAGTTGGAGATTTCTCGCTTACATCAGATGATTTCCGGGTATTAACCTCACTTATAATTGAGGTTTTCGAGGTTTTCCCGGACATAATCTGAGAAAGCTCAGTTTTATCCATTGATCTGGAGAAGGAAAGGTCCCTATGCAGCTTTTCTTTTTTGGACCCACCATAAATACAGGGATTTTATTGCCTTTGTTCAGCATCCTTTCCTTAACGCTTTTCCAGCCATCGCTTTTAGTTTTTATCTCTTCAGAGATGTCATCATCCTCCGAATATGCCTCCGTCTCCTGTTCTTCCTCTATAACAGAAGGAGCAGCATCACCCTCATCTGACTCACTGTATGCTTCAGTAAACTTATCTGAACTGTAATATTTACTCTCATTGAACGTCTCCTCTCCCTCCAACTGCTCCTCGGGTAACAAGTCCCCAATGGACAGCAAATTAATCTCCTCAGCAACGTTAAAAACCTCCGGCTCATACTCGGAGAAAGTAACGTTACTCTTGATGCTGGAGGCTGATTTAGTGGCATGTAGCTCGGGGGAAGGTGACAGGACAGGACCCAGGAGATCGTTAACAGATTGCAGATTCATGAAGGAGTAAGAGTGACGCTCGCTTATACTATGAGATCTGTCCCGGGTGTCAGTGGGGGTTGGGGTTCTGGTTTGGGCAGTGGCTGTGGAGCCGCTTATTGAAATGTCTGAGTCTAGGGAGATTAGCCCGGATATGTCGTAAGGGTCATCTGGTGTTGGATCTTGTCCTTCAAGGAGAGCTGCCCAGTCGATTTCTCCAGGCATGATTCCTTTTCTGTGAAAGAAAAGAATTTGAATGGAAAGTTATTGCGATGAGTTGCAGATATTAGAAATTAAATGTTGAAATTGATAGATGTGAATTGTAAATATCCCAGTAGTCGGATCAATAAAAAGCACAGTAATGAGAAAAACAAATTTTACAATCATAACACATTTATTTTTATAATAATTACGTAATATTCAAATTAAAAAAACATAAAAATAATTAATTTTCAAATTAAAAAAACAGCGATTCTTTCAAAACATTCATAAGTAAAGAGTCGTTAAGTTCTTCAATATATTCATAAACAAAACCAAACAAAATATTTAAAAGAAATAATCATTTAAAAGTACTCAGGTCAAGTCACGCAGTAACAAACATAAAAAGAGTTTCCAGTCAGTTATCGAGAGTAACTAAAGAGGGTTAACCAAAAATTTACAGGGCCAGAAAATAAGAAAGTTTGTCAGAACTTTTTCGCACAACTTCATTTAATTTATTTATCTATTTAGTTTTTATACATTACACACTTAACATATTCGATAAAAAATCATTTGTTTAACAGTTTGAAAGAAAAATTTCGAATAACAACACAATTAAATTCTTGTCACTACAGACATCAAAACCAAATCCGGTATTTAAACTTAAAGCAAGTTTGTCAGTAAAAAAAAAGCATAATTAGGCATCCAAAACTCCATCATCAGATCTCCCATCCTCCACAAACCCAGTGAGATTTCCTTGTCTGAGTTCCACCGCATTACCTCCCTGCAGCAAAGTGACAAACTTGTAACCAAAATAGGCCAGAACACACACAACTGCAAAACCCGTGTAAACCAAGTATTGCTGCCGTGGGTTGAAACTCAGAACTCGCTCATCAATCACAATGAAAGTAACCAGAAGATCGAGCGTTCCAGCTACACACGCGTTCACTCCTACCACAAAGCCATACAGATTCGTGGTGAGGGAGTGGGCTATCTTGAACAGGGCTATTGTCATGCAGGACGAGGTTATGATGTTGAAGGCAGCATCACAGACATATGCAAGGTAGAGGTTTTGTAGAATGGTTGGAAGGAGTGTTGTCAGTGCTAGAGCCAGTGTCAGCACAGCTAGAACAGATGCTTTTGTGTGTTCTACCGATCTTGAGTACCTGGATAAAATTGATGGGTTAATATAGCAGGTAGTGGCTGGATAGGTGTATCAAATAGGTGTATCAAAATCAAATTAACCAGACAATTAGCAAAGTGGTTTCTAGAATGCACTCAGTGCACTGTGCAACACGATATTGTTATAATGATTGATTGAATACGCCCAATGGGCGCTGGTCTGTACCGAAATATAAAAAAACATACAATATAAAATTATAGAGAAACATAGAGAATAAAATTCTAGCAAGCCTCCGAAAACTATTTAGCCTTGTGTGTCGACGTAACTAGAAAATAGCATAAAAATATGAGTTGCAGTTCAGGTTCTGTTACTTTAACATTTACCAGTCTCAGCACTGAAAAAAACACACTAAATTAAAATAAGCTTTCAACGCGGTTCAGTTATTAATTGTAAAAAGTGGTAAATCTACACACGGCAACTCCAGTCAGCACCAAATAACACTCAACATACATCATACATTAACTCTTATCAGGAGCTTTGGGACGTTTGACTTTGAGATGATAAGGTTTTATCAGCCGTGCAGATCTTTCTGTCGCGTATGAAATAATGTTTATTTGAGTCTTTCTGGATCATCTGTTTCATCTCCTTAACAAGTTTACTATGCGCAAGCTGTTCCTCTTTGGTTCTGTCCGGTCCCAAATAAACATGTTTGAAAGAGTCACTGTCTCTGAGGTTTCGTGCACGCATCAAAATCAAGTCTACCTCACTGGCACAACCAAATTCGACCTTGATAGGCCTATTCTTACCCGGTTCCTTCCTTCCGATTCTGTAGACCTCACCAGTGCGGAGCACGGGGAAAGCGTCAGTTCCGTAAAGTATGTCCTTGACAACTTTGTTGAGCTCAAAATCGGCTTCTTTATCACTTTCATGGCAACCGTAGATCATCAAGTACTTCGATCGTTTCTTCTCTTCATTTACAGTCCTGACGGCTTGTTTGATAGAGTTTTCTGTTAAAGGTTTCCCGCTAGGACGCTGAGCAGTGTTTTTCTTGACAACATCCGTCCAACTTTTCATTTCTGATTTAACTGTCTCCTGAACTGAATTCATCTGTCCTTGTTGAGTTTCAATAATTAGTTTCTGATCCGCTATTTTCTCCGATTTCATGACATCAATTTTCCCAGCAGCACTTTTACAAAGTTCAATATTCTTCTCCGCCAATTTCATTAAGCTGCCGATGATTTTGACGAGTGGATTTTTGTTAAGTTTCATTAAAGCGGTCTCAGTAAAGTCAGATCTACATGAAACATTGGCAACCTTGAATATTTTCTGAATTTCTGATGTCATCTCATGGTCCATCGCGTTGAGCCGGTCCACTGAAAAATCCATGCTACACAGTCGGCGCTGTTGAAAGTCGACGTGGCGAGTAACACTTTCACTGATAACGATCACTGATAAGCGAGCTAAAAAACAGTGCAAATACAAATTGGTTTACTGCGAACTGATACAAATTGGTTTACTGCGAACTGAATACAAATTGGTTTACTGCGAACTGAATTGGTTTACTGCGAACTGAATTGGTTTACTGCGAACTGAAATTGGTTTACTGCGAACTGAATTGGTTTACTGCGAACTGATTTGGTTTACTGCGAACTGCAGTGGCCAAAAGTCAGTACCCATACGTTGGCCTTTATAGCTCAGTCACTGAGTGCCCAATTTAAATACTTCTTTCTGGTATGACTTAGTACCACCACTGGTTCGAGGAATTTGTCAACTCGAAAAATATTCGCGCTCATTTTTTTCAAATGGAGGTTCATTTTCACATTTATTTGATAGTTTGGATAGTCGGATCAAGCTAAATGTTATTGAATTGTGTTTGGCCATTCGAATTACGTTTGTCCTGAAAGAATTAGAACTGTAGCTTCTCAGATGACCGAGATATGAAGCATAACGAGTTTATTCATTACGTGTGATCAGGTGATTGGATTACCTAATCACGTGATAAGGTGCCCCCGTTAACTACCCCGTTAAACATTATGGGAATTGTTAAGGGTGCCCAATTAAGGTGTCGTGTCACGGTGTCACATAATCACCCAGTCAATATTGTTAACGAGATACAGAAAATGCTTGATAACTTCGTCATTTCTAATCCGTTTTGCCTCATGTTTTCAGATCATATGCAACATTTAATAATCTACCGTCTCTAAAAAATTAGGCGTTCAGCATGTTCAGAGAAAACAATATAGGTGTTTTAATATTGAATGGGTGTGGTCTAAAATATTCGAATTTTCAAATTTTGACGACGGAATCCTCGAACCAGTAAGTACAGTATGCCATCTGCAAAGCAACAGCTCTCAAATATAAAACACGGCGGAGCTATTAAGGCCAACGTATGGGTACTGACTTTTGGCCCACCCTGTACCTTGTTAGAATCCAGGAAGTTAAGCTACTTAACAGACCAGTCACACCAATCACATAACCATTGAACCGCTTTTTCTTTCCATTCTCCAAGTCTTTCCACAGGGATTGTGCACTGTTGCCAACCTGTTATAAGTAGTCTAAATAAGAAAACGTTTAATAATTATACAATCGCATACATATTATTATAACGAACAACCTCCTGTAGTATCAAAATACATTTTATCTTCGTCTTTCAACGAATATAAAAAACCATTTTACCAATAAAACTTAGTTGTATTTTCATAAAATTGATAGTGTGACAGTTTGTTTTAAAGTAAATTGTGCAAAAAAACGTTTCGAGGAATAAATTTCAACTCACCATAAAGTATAAAGCTGAGGTGACAATGGCCCAATAGGCCCACCTCCTAGTTTGCAATGATTTGTATGATAACATAACATTTACTTTCCCCCTCAGAAACTTTTCTTTGACCTTTTGTATCATGCTTATATCATCATCTAAGATGAGCTGGTCCTGATCAGACGTAGGCTGAATTGTTGAATTCTCATTCAACCCAACGAAATTTAGAGGTGCAGGAATGACTAACGCTAATATCAGAGCCAAAGACACAGAGGCAAGACTTATGTAATTGAGCTGCATAAATGAAATGTCAGCATAGTCGTGAAGGATTTGAGAAGCAAAAGAGGACATTGATCGTCCAAAGAGAGTTGAGCCAGCAAGGTATAAACTAACTGTACTGTACTCTTCCTTTGTAACAGCAACAAAAACATAAGACTTGTAAGCAACTTCACATGCAGTTCCAATGGCGTATGTAACCTGAAAATTTGTATGAATATAAGAGTGTAAGTAAAATAAAACTAAACACACTGCTTTCATCACAACCTCTTTTAGAATGAAAATACATAACATTTTATTAATCAAAGTTTCGAAATGTACCTGCATAAGCTGCATCAATTTGACGGTTGTCCCAAAAATAAGCAACAGCCATGTTGCAACATAACCCAATGCACCTAACCATATCATAGGTAGGTAACGTACAGCATCTGTGAAGGCCAGTACCAATATGAATATAGGAAGCTGAGAGTAACTCCATACAGGGTATATCATGTTGTTAATTTCATGCTTTGTAAAGCCTTTTGTTTCATTTAGAAACGGTGTAAGAAATGGCTCTGATGGTCGAAAGTCCCTGAAGAAGACATAGAGAAGCAAAATTGGAACTGCTAGCCTGTTGCCAATCATATTTCTTGTTAGTCCATCCTACAAGTAGTTAGAATTGTAGTGAATAGTTCAAGTAAATATGGGTGAACCAGTGACATGTGCATGTGAAAGATATTATATAGGAGGCCAAAAGTCAGTGCACATACGTTGGGTCTTATACTTATGTCTACTTATATTTAATATGATATCATTATTCATTGTAATGGCAATAAAATTTAAATTTTGTTTTACTTAAATTTTGTTTTACTGATTCTTTGATTTGACATATTCCTTGAATGAGTGGTCATAGTAAGTCCTGCCAAAAAGAATTATCTCAATCAGGCACTCAGTGACTGAGCTATAACGGCCAACGTATGTGCACTGACTTTTAGCCCACCCTGTACAATAAATTATTATCTTATTTTTTAACGGGTGATACTCGTAAAATATTTGTTCCAATTAATACAAGACTGTCGACGAGTCCAACTCGGCGCGCGTCCTGGTAGGTTATAAACTTACAACTTATTTTCAATACATTCTCAGCAAACTAAAAATATTATTATCAAACATGTCAATCTTACAAATGTCAACAATCCTAAAATAATTTAGAACCTGAACGTGATCCTTTGTAAGATTATATGTCCCAAAAGTCAAATCGACTTGTACTCAAGTATAAAATCGAATAATTTACTCCAATAACCACGGTTACTAGCAAGTTCTCTCAAGTGAAGAATATCATCATACGACTCCAGCAAGATGAAACGCTTCCAGAGGTCAACCTTCAGGTGGTGTAGGAGGTTACGTCTGTGAGCCCAGAGTCTACCAACTTCACTACACATCTCGACAGCAAAGCACAGAGCAGCTTGAGCTGGTGATCTTTCATCGCTCCTCAGTATGTGTCCTAGCATCTTCCACCTAGATAACTCAGCACGCTCGGACATAGGGGTAGAGTTACTCTGTTTGTAGAGGGTATCTTTGGACATCATACTGCGTGGCCAGCTGACATTCATGATCTTTCTGAGGTGGTTACGGTGACATGCATCTAGTTTGTCCCAGTACGATTTAGGCATTCCCCAGCAACTAGAGTTATACATGAGGATAGATACTACTTGGGCCTCATAGACCTTCAGCTTCTTCTGTAGGGGGATCTTACTCTGGCACCAGACCTCCTTGAAGTTCTGGAATGCTACATTGGCTAACATGATTCTTCTGGTGACATCTTTCCTACTTTCTAGCAGAGAACCCAACAACTTGCTACTGCACCATTCTTCATTCATTCTAAGGGGTTTACCATCATCCATGACCTCATCTTTCCCAGCTATGTAGACGTGTACAAACTCTGTCTTTGATTCATTAATATTCAGATTCCACTCTTTGAACACCTTAGTAGCGATAGGGAGGAGGGCTTCTAGAGTATCTTTGTCTTCACCAAGATAGTCGATGTCATCAGAGTAGGCATCTTCTTCAGGCATGCCGCTAGGGTTAATAGGAGGGGTTGGGCGCAGCGTCACGGCACGCAGGTGGTAGCAGGCACCAGCTAGAGTGATTGTGAAACAGAGGCCTGAAACACTATCACCTTGGGGTCCTCCGTTGGTGCTGATGAATTCAAGGGAGGTAGCGTTGTTGACTCGCACCTTGATCTTGGTGTTGCTCAGGAGGAATCTCACTAGTCTGATCTCATCTCTTGTGCACCCTGCGTCCTCTAGGAGGTTGAGCACAGTCTGCCTACTGATAGTATCGAAGGCACTGGACATGTCTAGGCCCATCTTGTGGAAAGACCACTCTCTTTCTTTTACGATGCTGATCAACATACGGTGACACCATACCAGGTCTCCACAGCTTCTCTTCTGCTTGTAGGCAGCTTGCCATGGACCTGTGTAAGCGTCTACCTTTGCTTCAATTCTCCTGAGTGTAATGAGGGATAGCAGCTTACGAGCACAGTTACATAATGTCAGGGGTCTGAGGCTTTTCAGTTCACCAGGAGTCTTGCCAGGCTTTTGAAGAGGGGTGATGAAACATTCTCCAACAGCGTCAAGGAACAGGTTCTCTTCAAAGCAGGTGTTGATGATTTTGGCGTAATGGACACATAGCGCACTCCCACCATACTTGAGGAGCTCAAACTAAAAATAGAGAAACAAAAGTTTAAAGGAAAAAAATTAAAATGTGGTTGCTATAATATAACAATAAATATTTATATCAGATTAAAAATAGGAAAAATCCAATAATGAACTATTAATTGTTGCGATTTTACTGTTAAAAAGGCATAAACTACTATTCAAAATATAATACCTGTATGGCCTTCAGCTTTTGAGCAGTAAAAATAAATTCAAAATTGACCAAGGAATAAAAATAGTAATTTCCCAAATTTTGCACGCATTAAAATAACCTTTTTTCAAAGTTTATCAATTAAAATTAATTTTTTCCCAATTCGGCGCACATACATTCGATCCGCCCAAAAACTACACAAAGAATCAACAGTAATTTTTTTCTTTTCTGCAGAACTGTGAGCGAATGTCGCCCCAGTTCAAATACAAAATAATGCAATATAACGTTTGGTTATATTGCGTCACGCAGTACGCGTATACACATGGCAATGTGAATACGTTGTAGGATAGGATACAAGGATACAAGGCGCGCAAGGATACAAAAGTGATAATTATTTTATTGAATTCACAATAGTTATAATTCTGAAATAATTTAAGGTTACACAATTCTAATTATTTACAAATGTGTAGGGATAAAATAGAAATGTTTTATAATACTATTTTTGAGGTCCTATAGCATTATGCATTGGCCAGTATTTGAATGGAAATCTGGGCTCTTATAGTAGGCTGTAAAATTTTCGTTCACAGAGAGAATTGAATGGATTGCTCTTGCTGTGGCAGTAAATTTTGTAGGGTCTAGTGTTTTATCGGATAGCAAACCGGCTAGGTCAGTAATATTTTTGGGATGGAAGTTAAATTTTTCTCTAACTGAGGAGTAGAGTAAACAGTTAGTTAGAACATGAATTTCGTCCTCGATAGGCTGACTCGCCGCGCACGAGTGCGCGGCTACCCTGTATCGTAAAAACGATAAAGGGTAAAACGATTTTGGGGGTCACGACGTGATACAAGGAAGACAAAAGGGCGTGAGTGAAAGAATTTTGCTTTGTGGATTCAGTAAGTAATTTGAATTGATTGACGATTTCAACCCTTCCAGATCGTTGCTTTGCAAATTATTAACAAAGTAACGATCTTCGATGCGTAGTACGTAAGAATGATAGTTTGCGCGGCGCTTCGAAGCGGCGAAGTTATCCAAAGATTTGAATTTGGAGCCTCAATGCCAAAGTAAAGGTTGTAGCGCGATGCGTTACTGTGCCGTCCCGCGCACTCAATGAGGCTTCTCACATGCAACATAGATCGGCGAAATGCGCTACTGTGCCGCGCCGAGCTGAAATGAATTGACATCGTCAATTAATGCCAAAGGGTGAATTTCAAATGTTTCTGCCAATATTTGAGTTGGGGAATATGCTGAATTTTTGTGTATATTGTTTTAGTCACCATACTAATTTTTTAAGTATACGATGTAAGATGGGAAATTAGGTTTGAGTTGTTGAAAACTATTTTGGTTGCTAAATTTGCTTTGAGGGAAAATTTTACTAAGGACATAAAGTTAAAACACTAAAATTGCCTTTGACATTTGAGGATTCAGACCTCAATTTAGAAGGGAAAAGGATCGAGCAATAAGTGATCCTAGATACTTATGGCCTTTATCTGAGAATTATTGATAAGCTTAGGGCTTCATTGAGGTTGAGCATGAGCAGCTGCAACCTCTATAATCAACTCAGCAAAATTATCAGGATTCATTCAAAACGGGTCTGGTCAATAGAGTCTGAATCTTGTAGAGCCACCTTCGGTTCACATAAATCAGGGTGTATCCGGACTTTACTTTTGCATAAGCCTCTGAGCCAGGGTTTACTATCAAAATAATCTGAAAAATATTGACGAAATATCCATATTTTGTTGCCGGCAATCAAAAATAACAATTTAGAGCATCGTTAATTTGACTTTTTCTGTTGCACAAATTGCTGGGGTATGATTGAAACATTTTTGGGTTCATTGTAAATGAATAGATACAAGTGTATCTTAGCTTGGTGGTGATCTTCATTTGTTCAAGAAATACAGGGCAGACGCATTGCTTTCAAGTAATGATACTAATGTTACGTTTTTGACACTTTTATGCTTATATTTTATGATCAACAATTTTCCTCGCAATATGTGTCTAACATTTTATGATTTCAGGATGTCAATGCTAATACAGTAACAAAATGGTAGAGGCAGTGGAACCACTAGTCATTGACAGCTTGGCGGACATTAGATCATCGGAAGAAAAGAGAGGAAGTATTGTGTCAGATGCCAGAGCTGATGTTCCAGCTGATTCTCCATCTAGTGATGGATATGAAACAGATCTAGAAATCGAAGAGGAGAAAACAAACTATGACACTACCGGTAGAGAGGTTTATGTCAATCAATGCAAGTCTTTGAACATCATTCCTGTCAGTTATTTCTTGCGTAATATGCAAGGTAGTGAAATACATATGTCCCATCATGGACTTGGACCAAAAGGTACCAAGGCAATTGCACTTGCTCTTGTTAACAATACCACAGTTCTGAAGCTTAACCTCGCAGATAATGCTCTAGAAGCAGAGGGTGGACTTTATATTGCCAACATGTTGAGAGAAAATTGTTACATAACTGTTCTTGATCTTAGTGAAAACAAGCTTGGAACAGCAGGAGCTAAAAGTTTGGGAGATATGCTCCATATTAACGTTAATTTAAAGGAGGTTTACCTAGCAGGGAACAGTTTTACAGACAAAGATATTGAGCATTTTTCTGAGGTTATGAAAGATTTCCGTCTAACCCATTTTGATTTGAGTCGCAACTGTATTGGAGAAAAAGGAGGGCTTCTTTTTGGACCAGCTGTCGCAGCAAATGAAAGCTTAGAGTATCTCAATCTGTCATGGAACAATATACGTAGGAAAGGTGCCATTGCAATTGCAAATGGTTTAAAGAACAATGTGATGTTGAAGCACATGAACCTTTCTTGGAATGGATTTGGTGATGAGGGTGCTGTTGCAATTGGAGAAGCTCTTAAAAATAACACAATACTTACTTGGTTGGATGTCAGCCATAACAGAATTACAGCTGAAGGTATCAAATTCCTCGCAAAGGCAGTGGAAGCTAATGAAGGTTTAAAATATTTTGGCGTTGCTCATAACCCAATTACTTCATCTGGTGCTTGTCTGCTTTTGGAAAGTTTTGGCAAAAACAGTAGTGCTGTCATTGAAACTGTCGACATAACAAATGTACGAGTAAATGAAGATTTGTGGGCTGCTCTTAGAGAAGCTAAGCAGATTCTGACAAATTTAAAAGTTATTCATCAACCCTTCATGGAGGGAAGAAAGAAGCCCAACCCAATTGCATCCCTTAAAGATTGGTTGGGCCATAATAAACATTTTGAATTAGTAGAAGTGTTCAAGAGATTTGATGAGGAAGAAACAATGGAGGTTTCTAAGGAGGTACTGCATGAAGCCTTCCAGCAAGCACATTTACCGTTTGACAAAAACAATATGGAGATGCTGATAGATCAGTTAGATGGTGAAGGTAAGGAGGGTGTTAACTACACCACATTGATAGACAGTGATCAGGTAAAATGGTTAGATGAGTGTCTTGTCAGATACAATGCTAATATAAAGGAATAAGTAATTTAAAAGTTGTGCTAATTCTTATAGATCACTTTTCTGATGAGTTTGTTGGCCTTCCAATCAGGATAAAAACTATCCATAATTCAGAATTTTGGAGTCAATATAATAGACATTCAGTGTTCCTTCTAATTTATTTTGTAATGTATTGAGTACATTTTGTCGACCGAAAAGCAAGATATTTATTTTCCAAAGAATGTTTATATTATTGAAGATAATCCTATTTGATGTGATTGAGTGTAATTATTTGTATATGGAAGATTTTTACCTAATTTTGTCTTTCTGAATTCAAAGGTGACAACTGCTTAAAAATCTTGAAAAATGTATTCATTGATTCTAGATATCCGCACATGCAGAAATTTTATGATTATGATACTACATTGTATCCTATGAAAGGACAGAATTGTGTAACCACCGATCTGAAGTGTTTTAATTTGATAATTGAACACTAGAAATATATCTGATTTCTAATATATTGAATCGATAATTAAATTGTAACCCACATCAGATAGACATGTGAAGAACATAAAATGAGTAGCGAACCAATTAACCCTTACAGTTATGTCTCTCCCCGACGTCCAATCCCAACTCTACCTCGGATTACCAATGATCCGATCCTCTCACAAAAGATGGCTAAAACCCGTGCCAAGCTCGCACAATACCGAAAAAGTAAGCTGACTCAGGATATGCTGATTAAAACGCTGCATGGCCAGGCCACAGCCAACCTTCAGAAGGTTACAATTCAGAATAGGATGCAGGGCAGGCCGATAGCGGAGAAGCCTCCCGAGGAAGAAGCAGGCAGTTCCAGGAAGAGACCACCTCCCTTTCCAGACCAAATGATGAGTGAAGATAGGAGAATGAGGTTAAACTACGAGTTCATGAAAAAGTGTGTCCAGTCAGCTCCGATACCTACAATGTCAGAGGACACATGGGAGTCTATCCTTACCATGCTTCCACCTGACCTGAGAGAAGAGCCAGCTTATTTTCCTCTCATTGACTCGCTTCATTTCGAAATTGAGAAGGAATATGAGCTCAGTTTAAGGAGGTACAATGTTGCTACCACACTGCTGAAGCCAGATTCTGGAGGAAAAGTTCCCGAACCTAAGATGAAGTTTGATGAAGAGGGTCTTGACTTCTCAACACCTTGGAGAAATTCTTATGAAGTTTCCCGAGCTAATATTGCTCAGAAACTCAACATTCTTCATCCTTCAATGCAGACTATTCTCAATCTTAGTCAGAAGTATGTGGCTACCCTCTTGATCGACTGTTCCCATCTCAGAAAACAGGGTCCTATCGACGCCGAAAACATGAAAAACAACGTCATCCTAGACTGTGAAAAGAACGAGGAAAAGTTGATGAATTCTTGGTTCCACGAAGTAGTCAACATATTCTATGACAAGAAATCGTTTGCACATCTAAAAGAGGACCAACAAGATAGTTTCTACAACTGTGTCTCTCAGTTGATGGCAAACATCCTACAATCCATCTTGGTGAACACCATACAATCCTGGGTGGGACTCTTTGACCCAAAGGAACAAGACAATCTTCCTCTGTACAAAGTGCAGCTGGTACTGGAGGATGGTGAAATGAGTTTCTCTCCTCCGCTAGATGAACTTGAAGAGATGATCAAGAGTGTTATTATGACCGTTTGTAAAAGTTTACAGAACGTCCCCGGTGTTCAGTCCTGGCTATCGGGAGCTGCAACTTTCGTTCCTGTAAAGTCTGCTGTTCAGGAGACTATCATTGATCTTAACACAAAACTTCTGAGTGAACGTGTCAAGGGTTACTTTGAGAAACCCAGGCAGCATTTGAAGCAACTTCAAGACAAATACCAGTATCTAGTTGACGGAACTGCCCAGAAAGAGATCGACGATTTCCTCTCAACAGAGTGTGAACTTCAGCTAAAGCTGGATAAGATCGTCCACTTCAAGTCTGTAACCTCAGAGATAGCTCTAGAAGACAGCTACGGTCACTACGAGTTGGTGGATCTGAACATGGATCAGCTGAAAAGTAGCTTGCAGCATATTTCTAACAAGATGGTTTCTCAGCTGCTGGATGCTTTGGTGCATCAACACATTGACAATAACAACGATATTATTGCCGAGTTTGAGAATATAAAGACGACAGCCCTAAGGAAGCCTGAGGACACACAAGACATGATCGACTTGATCGGATTTACGACCAAAGCAACCACTGAGACTATTCCAAAGTAAGTATTTTATCTTTCATTAGTTTTACATAGTTTTACATTGCTTAATTTTATCATGAATAATTATATATTCTTCAGAGAAAATTATCATATTAATAGATGTGGATTCTGGCATGGTGGGGAGGTGAGGCATATTTTTTTGACACTTGACCGTGATTCTGGGGTCTGATCGGTTAATGGTCGAAGCTGATTGGTTATTTCAGTGACGTGCCAAAAAACATGCCTCACCTTCCTACCAGAATGCTCATCTATTGATCTGTAGAATGCAGATTTAGCTTGTTTGACCATATTTTTTTCAGGTTACAAAAGGACATCTCAGAAGCGGCCAAGAGGCTGCACTTTTTACTCGACCACTACATCTTCACTGAGGATGAGGTTAGAACATATTAGAATTGTTTATGTTCTATTAAAGTACGGAATATGATTTTGTCGGGTTTCGGATAACTGAATAATATGTGGTGTATTTTAGAGCCTCTTGGTTTTGATATACCAGTTAAATTCTATCTAAAACTCAGTACAATGTTGATGTTTTTATATTTTATAGATTGATTTGAACAGAACGACCCTCAACTGGCCATCCAAGATTGCCCCAATATTTGAGGTGAACGATGAAATTGTCGCAGAAGCGAAGAAACAAGGTAATATTTTCATAGTTTTTCCATTTAAACTCAATAAAATATGCTCTACAAAAAATTACACACATTCAGCAAATAAGGTGACTTGTTCTCTTTTTAAAATTAGTTATACATCAATAAACTTTAAGTTCTTTTAGGTGACCATTATGAATATGTATTGATAAATCACTGTATAAAATTTGACTTTATTCATTTATTTACATACAGATAGATAAATTTGTTAAACTCTAACACATTCTACAGGAGAAACACACCTGGGAGACAGACGAGAGAAGGTGATGTTAGACTTATCTAAACTAATGACAAAGGTAGAAGAGTTCAATGACTGTGGAGACATGGACATGATGCAGCAGTATGTTAAGGATGTCATGCAGGTAGGTAACTGGGGGATTCATTTCTCAGATTTAATTTTGTGAGCGGTAACGTAACAGTAGCTCCACAAGTTCCACGTATCAGCTGTGACTAATGGAGCTGTTTGTGTCGCAGGTTCAAAAGAAGATAAACGAGCTGACTGGAGAAATTGAGTTTATCAACAAAGAAGAGGAACTTTTCCAATGGGAAATATCCAACTACTGTGAGATCGATCAAGTACGAGAAAATAAATAAATAAAATAACAAATTTTATTTTAATCACCTATTTTAGTGTCAGCAATTTAATTTACTGTCCAAGTTATGTTATAATTTATTGGAGTAACAGCGTTGTTAAAGTAGATTCTATCTATAGCCTTGATTATATAATATATATTAGAAATATGAAAAGAGGGGAAAAACAGTTGTCTATCTAGAAAGATAATGTGATGACATGTAGTTGTCCTCCAATATTGATATGTTTAACGTTACAGATATCGACAATGCTGGAGCCATATCAGAAGTTGTTTACAACTGTGCTGAAGTGGCAGAGAACCGAAAAGAAGTGGATGGACGGTTCCTTCCAGGAGCTGGATCCTGAGGAAGTCGAGGTGAAGTGAACTTCTTATTTTCTTAACTTGTTTTCTCTGTGAACTTTCTTTTAATCCTTTAAACTAATCTTATCGCCATACCTTTCCTGTTAATCACAAACTCATTTTGATTATAGTCGTGTTTTTTGAAGTGATCAGCTACTTGTGTCTTTATAAGGCAATTACCAGCCCTTGTAAATAACATTTCACTCTTTTTTACAGGCAGCAGTCGACGAATTCTGGCAAGAAACCTACAAAATAACAAAGACATTTGCAAAGTCGACCAAGAAGACGGACAGTAAGGATAAATTGACAGCAACTACCAGACGAACCTCCTCTATGGCCGTGGTGAAGGATGGAGACCAGAGCCAGGATGCTTATTCGGTCAGTTTTATAACACTGTTATCAATTATAATTACTGTGGTGCAGATTATCTGGGTTTTATACGCGTCTTAATACAATATGATGATTGCTGAATTAACTTATATATTACAGTTTTCAACAAACTTATCTTTTGTTTATCGATATTTATAACTTTGTCTGAGGCGTAATTAACTTTAAAGTTGTAACAACAGCTTCATAGCACGATGGGGCCCGGCTACTCGTTTACTTTCATCCTAAAATGTGGCCAAATTACATTCTTAATGAATTCACCTCTACCTTCTGAACAAACTCTATAATTGCATCTCGTCACATTTGACCAGATCATACCAGATTTTATTACATGTATAACACGTACTCCAATTTTATAATTGATCCAATTAATTAATTAATTATTACACCCAGGTTTGTCAAAGAGTACAGAAGGGTGTGAAAGACTTCAAGGGAAATCTCCCAGTGGTGTCGATCATGTGTAATCCGGGACTGAGACAGAGGCATTGGAATGGAATGTCTGAGATCATAGGATTTGACATTACCCCCGACTCGGGCAGTACACTCCGCAAAATGCTGAAGAATAATCTGGATCCCGTTTTGGAGGAATTCGAAGGTTTGTGTTTTAAGACATTACGGTTAACGGTCGAGTGGGAGCTATTTTCAACTATACTATTTCGTTTAATTTTTGGATAAGCAAAACGCTCGAGTTAATATCTTCGAGTCGTTTATTGTTTGTGTGTTCAGGAATAAGTAATGCGGCAAGTAAAGAGTTCGGTTTGGAACGAGCGATGCAGAAAATGGCAGACGAGTGGGAGGAAATATATTTCAATACCACTCAGTACAGAGATTCAGGTAAGCTTTCAATAAATTCGGAAATCTGGATTCCACTTAGTTCCTTTAGATGTTCGTTTAAAACTTTTCAGCAAGATCATAATTAGAATCCCAAAAGTTTGACCTTAATATTCAATAATATTCCAGGTATTTCCATCCTGGCGTCTGTTGAGGAAATCCAAACGACTCTCGACGATCAGATCATCAAAACACAAACTATGAGAGGATCTCCATTTATCAAACCTTTTGAAAAAGAAATTCGGTATTGGGAGGATAAACTCATTTTGACTCAGGAGATTATCGATGAGTGGTTGAAGGTTCGTCTCTTTTTGATTTTTTATTGTATCTTGATCTTGTACTGTATCTTGATTCTTGATCTTGTACTATATCTTGATAACATGTACTACAACGGATCAGACCATTTTTCTAATATTTTTACTGAATATCATAAAACATTATATATTGCCAATGATTAATTATAAGACTTCGCATGTATTATCACATATCATAATTTTCTGGTGATTGCTTATCAAACTCCACAGGTTCAATCGTGCTGGCTTTATCTGGAGCCTATATTCAGTTCGCCAGATATCATGTCCCAGATGCCAGAAGAAGGCAGACTTTTCCAGGTCGTCGACAAGAACTGGAGGGACACCATGAAATTTGTAACCAATGATCCAAAGGTATGATTCGTTGAATTGTGTGCATGATATAGTGTTTATCATGAATAACATGCAGCTGTTAAACTTCAATCTTTTGTGTGACGCTTGTGGCAAAGGTTAAAATTTGGAATATTGCGCCGACGCGGAACACAATTTTGTGCGATAACATAAATTTACTGAAACAGTTGCCATGGTAACGGGATATTGCGCGCGCCGCGCAAACATTGCTTAATTGCTTAGCTTCAGCAGGTTTGTTGTTTAATTGAGGAGTAATGTATCAACATCAGCATCTTTACAGAGTTGGTCTAGTGTTCACTGTTTTAGGGTTGCTCACCGAGTGTTGCACACGAAAAGGCCCTCGGCAATGGAAAAGTTTGAAGGAGTTGTCAGCGTATTCTTCCTAACATTTAATAGTTACATGCACATGTTACACAACTAGAGAAGAAATGTGGTTAATCGTTATAGTGCATGTGCTTACTATAATAAGGAGTAAAAAACCGCTATTTGGCGTCATTTTTTAATCAAAATGAGGACAAATATTAAGCAAGATTTTTTTAATTTATTCTAGAGCAACAAGGTCACAATAATATATCTATATTTCGTAGCATGATCTTCATGCTTTAATATCGCTAACTCCTTAATTTGACCTATTTGTCAATACGTAATACAATAAAACTTATCTTAAATCTCAGGTGTCTCGGACTACATGGCCCTAAGGATAGGTTGCTAAAAATTGAGTGGAACCTGGACTGAACCTGGTCCCAGATTTAATTCTAACTTTTCCTCAGGTTCTCCACGCTACTTCAATGCCGGGCATGTTAGAGAAAATGAGGGACAGCAACAACCTTCTAGACAAGATCATGAAGGGTCTGAACAACTACCTGGAGAAGAAGAGACTCTATTTCGCTCGGTTCTTCTTCCTGTCAAACGATGAGATGTTGGAGATCTTGTCTGAAACTAAAGATCCTACAAGAGTCCAGGCGCATTTGAAGAAATGTTTTGAAGGTCAGTGTTGTTTTTACTGTGACACAGGTATCACCGATGGCGGGGGGGGGGGGGGTCAGTATATTAGAGGAATGTATTATATCAAGCATAAAGAGCTTATCAGCTTATTCATTACGAGGGAGCAGGTGAGTGGGTTGACACTAAATCCGCACTATGGGAATCGTGCAATGACCTCAATTACGGTGTCGTAGCATGCTATCAGATGATTACCCAATTAATTTTGCTAACGGGCTAAACAAATTACTTGATAACTTCGTCATTTTAAATCAGTTTGGCTTTTGACCCCCAGCTCCCCAGTCCCCTTCTGCAGACGTCTGTCTGCAGACGTCTATCTACTGAAACCAGTAGGCTGGATAGCACTATATAAAGATGTGAAGGTTGAAGTCCAGCTAAACTGACATCCTGAAATGCGCCAATATAGGTGGTCTTAAATACTGTCGCCAATACATCTTACGTCCGCGCCTTCACTTGTCAAGAAGAATTCTCCACTTCCATGGTACGGTTATGGCCTGATTGCCTGCGTTTATAATAGTTAAAGAGTTCAAACGTGCTATCAATGATTTAGCAATACTTCAGATGAAGATATTAAACGGATTTGTTGCTCAATTATTTAGTCATGAAAAAATTCTTACTCAACACATGAACTTAACAATTTATATTTATTAGTGGTTTGACAACCTGAAATGCGCCAATACTTTTATAAATACATCTTACTTCCGCTGCTTCACTTGTCAAGAAGAGTTCACCACTCCCATGGTTATGGCGCCTTATAATCCTATAACATAAGTAGCTAAGTAGCTGGTAAATTCAAGATGAATTAAATCGTGATTGCCTGCGTTTATAATAGTTAAAGAGTTCAATCGTTCTACAAATGATTTAGCAAAATTTTAGATGAAGATATTAAACTGATTTGTTGCTCAATTATCTAGTCATGAAACAAATTCTTACTTAGCACATGAACTTAACAATTTATATTTATTGGTGGTTTCCTGCAAATGTCTCTAACTTCTACCATATAACTAGCTAATTATTATTATTTTTATCTTAAGCTTCTAATCTCTATCAAACAACAAAAATAGACTTGAATTTGTAGATATAATTTATAAAGCGTATGTTATTGCCCACTTAAAGGAGCCTGTTAATAATTAGTTGAATTATTAGCTATTTTAGATTTAATAATAATATCAAAAGTCAAAACTAGAATTACCAAACTACCATTACAGGATTATCTAACCTTTACCCGCTACCATAACCCAAAGTCCCTAATCTCTACAATAACCCGAAGTCTCTAATCTCTACAATAACCCAAAGTCTCTAACCTCTACCATAACCCAAAGTCTCTTATCTCTACCATAACCCAAAGTCTCTAACCTCAACCATAACTCAAAGTCTATAATCTCTACAATAACCCAAAGTCTAATCTCTACAATAACCCAAAGTCTCTAATCTCTACCATAACCCAAAGTCTCTTATCTCTACAATAACCCGAAGTCTCTAATCTCTACAATAACCCGAAGTCTCTAACTTCTACCATAACCCAAAGTCTCTTATCTCTACCATAACGCAAAGTCTATAATCTCGACAATAACCCAAAGTCCCTAATCTCTACAATAACCCAAAGTCCTTAATCTCTACCATAACCCAAAGTCTAACCTCTACAATAACCCAAAGTCTCTAATCTCTACCATAACCCAAAGTCTTTTGAATATAGAGGCTCACTCCAAAACACCATCGACAACATCCCCAGTGAAACCATCACCTGCTACACAGACGGGTCACGCACAGACTCAGGTAGCGGGGCTGGTTATATTATCACCACAGACAACAACAAAACTACACTAGATGAAAGATCATTCAAGCTTCCTGATTATTGCACCGTTTATCAAACAGAACTCACTGCCATCATCGAAGCTTGTAAATATCTATCAACCTACACAAACACACATATCATCATATGGTCAGACAGTCTCTCCTCTATTCAAGCTATATCCTCACCTTCAACGAGGAGTAGAACCACTAGAGACTGCTACGACACCCTCAATACACTCGGATCCACTAACACCTTAGAGATCAGATGGATAGCAGCACACATAGGATTGTGGGGTAATGAAAAAGCAGACGAGCTGGCCAAAAATGGCACAACCAGTGAATCCACTTTGAATTGCCCAATTCCACAATCTTACATCAAACGCCTGATCAACGACAAAGTCACAAAACTTAATCAAGAATCATGGATTACTAATGGTCCCAGACACACTAAACTGACACTTGGACATAAAAACATCAACATCATCAAAAATCTCAACACTACTCTCAGTAACAACAGACAAAATTACAGAACTGCAGTGCACCTCATCACGGGACATTGTGGCCTCAACAAACACCTACACACCATTCACAAATCAGACACAAGTGCTTGTCCTAAATGCGGCGACGGAGAGGAGACTGTCTCACACTTTCTCGGACAGTGCCCGGCTATTGCCCAAATAAGAGGTCAATATTTCCGGGACTACTACCTCTCTGTCAATGACATATTCGACAACCAACACATCTCCACCATTGTCAACTTTACAAACCACACTAAACGCTTAGTGGTGCCGGAGGAGTTGGACCAGACAGGTGTAACATAGCGACTACTTTAACGCCGTCTTGTTTCGCCCCTCTCTTCCACACTCAACCACCACTTAACCGTTTATCTATAACACACCCCACAACACTTACCATCATCCGTGATTACACATCTTGATTCCACTGGCATCCTCCCACAGGACTGCCATACCCCAGAGGTAGGCAAAGCATCCATATGCTATCCTCTCGTGGGCCAACCAGGCCCAGCCTCTCTTTAAAAAAAAAAAAAAAAAAAAAAAAAAAAAAAAAAAAAACCCAAAGTCTCTTATCTCTACCATAACCCAAAGTCTATAATCTCGACAATAACCCAAAGTCCCTAATCTCTACAATAACCCGAAGTCTCTAACTTCTACAAAAACTCAAAGTCTCTAACTTCTACCATAACCCAAAGTCTCTTATCTCTACCATAACCCAAAGTCTATAATCTCTACAATAACCCAAAGTCTCTAATCTCTACCATAACCCAAAGTCTCTAACCTCTACCATAACCCAAAGTCTATAATCTCTACAATAACCCAAAGTCTAATCTCTACAATAACCCAAAGACTCTAATCTCTACCATAACCCAAAGTCTATAATCTCTACAATAACCCAAAGTCTCTAATCTCTACAATAACCCAAAATCTCTAACCTCTGCCATAACCCAAAGTCTCTAACCTCTACCATAACCCAAAGTCTCTAACCTCTACCATAACACAAAGTCTATAATCTCGACAATAACCCAAAGTCCCTAATCTCTACAATAACCCAAAGTCTTTAATCTCTACCATAACCCAAAGTCTAACCTCTACAATAACCCAAAGTCTCTAATCTCTACCACAACCCAAAGTCTCTTATCTCTACCATAACCCAAAGTCTATAATCTCGACAATAACCCAAAGTCCCTAATCTCTACAATAACCCAAAGTCTATAATCTCTACCATAACCCAAAGTCTATAATCTGTACCATAACCCAAAGTCTCTTATCTCGACAATAACCCAAAGTCCCTAATCTCTACAATAACCCGAAGTCTCTAACTTCTACAAAAACTCAAAGTCTCTAACTTCTACCATAACCCAAAGTCTCTTATCTCTACCATAACCCAAAGTCTATAATCTCTACAATAACCCAAAGTCTCTAATCTCTACCATAACCCAAAGTCTCTAACCTCTACCATAACCCAAAGTCTCTAACCTCTACCATAACACAAAGTCTATAATCTCGACAATAACCCAAAGTCCCTAATCTCTACAATAACCCAAAGTCTTTAATCTCTACCATAACCCAAAGTCTAACCTCTACAATAACCCAAAGTCTCTAATCTCTGCCATAACCCAAAGTCTCTTATCTCTACCATAACCCAAAGTCTATAATCTCGACAATAACCCAAAGTCCCTAATCTCTACAATAACCCAAAGTCCCTAATCTCTACAATAACCCAAAGTCTATAATCTGTACCATAACCCAAAGTCTCTTATCTCGACAATAACCCAAAGTCCCTAATCTCTACAATAACCCGAAGTCTCTAACTTCTACAAAAACTCAAAGTCTATAATCTCGACAATAACCCAAAGTCCCTAATCTCTACAATAACCCAAAGTCTTTAATCTCTACCATAACCCAAAATCTCTAACCTCTACCAAAACTCAAAGTCTCTAATCTCTACCATAACCCAAAGTCTCTAACCTCTACAATCTCTCTCTAACCTCTATTAATACCCACAGTCTCTAATCTCTATTAATACCCACTGTCTATAGTCTCTACTTATACCCACAGTCTCTAACCTCTACTAATTCCCACAGTCTCTAACCTCTACTTATACCCACAGTCTCTAACCTCTACTAATACCCACAGTCTTTAACCTCTACTAATTCCCACAGTCTCTAACCTCTACTAATTCCCACAGTCTCTAATATCTATTAATACCCACTGTCTCTAATCTCTACTAATACCCTCAGTTTCTAACCTCTACTAATTCCCACAGTCTCTAACCTCTACTAATACCCACAGTCTCTAACCTCTATTAATACCCACAGTCTCTAATCTCTATTAATACCCACTGTCTATAGTCTCTACTAATACCCTCAGTCTCTAACCTCTACTAATTCCCACAGTCTCTAACCTCTACTAATACCCACAGTCTCTAACCTCTATTAATACCCACAGTCTCTAATCTCTATTAATACCCACTGTCTATAGTCTCTACTAATACCCACAGTCTCTAACCTCTACTAATTCCCACAGTCTCTAACCTCTACTAATTCCCACAGTCTCTAATCTCTATTAATACCCACTGTCTCTAATCTCTACTAATACCCTCAGTCTCTAACCTCTACTAATTCCCACAGTCTCTAACCTCTACTAATACCCACAGTCTCTAACCTCTATTAATACCCACAGTCTCTAATCTCTATTAATACCCACTGTCTATTATGTTCTCTATAATAACCCAAAGTCTCTAATCTTTACTAATACCCACAGTCTCTAACCTCTACTAATACCCAGGTATTGCCAATCTGGAGTTTACCGGTGATTATGATATCCTGGCTATGATGAGCTCAGAGAAAGAAAAAGTAACCCTGACCAAGTCCATCTCAACGTCAGAAGCTAGGGGCGCGGTGGAGAAGTGGCTTCTACAGGTTAGCTTATTGAGAAATATTATCTGTTGTTACAACCAGTTCAGATATATCAAAATATTAGCATATTTCTCGAAATTTTGAATATTGTGATCCGATAATTTGAAAATGACCGTCTTGGGTAGCGTAAATCATAAATGGTAAACTTAAACGTGCAGATGAATTTACCATGGACACGACTGGAAATTTTACCTCTACTTATGGTATTTAAAACGTCAAATTTATCACGCAAACTTTGAGGGAATCACGCAGTGTAACGCAACTATATGAATACTCTCTTTAAGTCCCGAATGTGTATTGATGTTCCTATCAGTCGACATTCAATAGTTCTCGGCAGTCAATCTGGAGGTCTTAAGGAAGGGGTGGCATGTTTCGTATTTAATAAGTATTTTGAAAATAGTAATCGGTAAAATATTGGGAATTTTTTTGCCGATTATGTATATATTTATTTTTTATTGTAAGTAAAGATTTTAAGGCGTTTGTACCGAGTAATACCTCCGGTAGTGCTCCTCAAAAAAACAAAAAAAGAACGATTATACAATATTTACACGGAAATCCCTGAAATATTTGCAATTAAATACCATTCATCGCGTGACTTGCTATTGGTCTGAGTACAAAAAATGTGCTGCATATTTTGAATTTCAATCCTCTGTTTCTTTCAAGGTTCAGCCTTACACCCACGGTTGTGTTTAATTAATTTTTTTGGATTTTGTCGTGCTAAATGGTAAAAGTGGTGCAGCCTTTCGTACATTGTTAAAATTCTGAGCAATTTTCAAATTCTGTCGACATTTCATAGGACTATTAAACCCTAATATCTCCTTTTGAAAAACGTAATGCAATAATCTTGAATTATTAGTAGGTGTAATGACTCAACAACCTGATGACCACAAAAGCGTGACCATTAAATTTAAATAAGCTATTCCTGTACTGACTTTTCAAATTTGTCTCTTAGGAAACTATTCTACGGAGGACAAATGAAATAAAAAATTCCATGATATGTTAAAATAAATTATATACTATTATATATTAAACCACTTAGGGATATTACCTATTGCATAAAGTAAGTGAGTATTACTATCTCCTTTATTAGATTTGTCAGTCGTTACTCAGCTTGGTGGTCTATGTCTGAGAATTGCGCAAAATTGTCACATTAACGTTTCGACAAATTTGTGGTAGTGGCAATCACATACGTGATGATAAATTAAAATGTAATCAGTAAAAGTACTACTGATTTGATCACGTGACTTTTATTAAAAAACCCACCTGGTCGCAAGTCCACGCCATTCATGTTCTGTGCAAATTTGCACCCCTGTGGTCATACAGCAACAGCACTTAAGTTTGCAATATAGCACTCCCAGCACTTAAGTTTGTCAAAATCTCATTCGACGTAGATCCCCAATTTGTGAACGTGTTGATTCGGCAGATTGATTGAACAAGATGTACAAGATGTCCATCGGTTTAAATTAGTTCATTCTAAGTTCATCACAACTCATTCCAATCATTTAATAGATAGATCTTTTTAGCGGCTAACATTTTCAATCGTAGATCAAATAAAAAATGATCGAAAAATATTTTATGATCATCAGCGTGAATACTGAATACCATGTATAATCATCGTCGTTGTTATTCCAGAAATCTAAAAAAGTAGCGGAATCAATAATTTACCTATTCAATAGGAGTCATTTACAAAAACTAAGTACAATTTACATATTTGTCGAGTATTTACTGACGATTAAACACTTAGGTTTTCCTGAGTCTCAGATTTGATATTCATAAACTCGAGTACGAACCGCCAAGTAAGAATCATACTCCGACTAGACTCTTGAGTACGAGTTGAATCTAAGTAAATGCTCAGTAAAATACACTGAACATTTTCAAAAACTTAGTTGAAGTAATTGGGGTTATTGGATTTAAAATGTTTTGAATGAGATCGAAATTAAAATACATGATCCCGTTTAAATTGCTTTGTTTCAAATTATTTCCGACCTAAAACACTAAACAGGTGGGACCAGTTAAATAAAGTTACACGATACTCCTAAAAACAATTACAGTATATCGCATTTCGCGTCCGCGACCAATTGGTGCAGCTCAGTTTATCTGACTAGTTTTGCATGACTATATAGCTATATATAGCTATAGTATATATATATAGCTATATATAGCTATATATATACTATAGCTATATAGTATAGCTATTATATATAGCTATATAGTATATATACGTGGATATATTCTGTGAGTAATTGATTCCTATACTTTTTGAGTACTTGTTTTTGAGCATTTACTAACATTATGAATACCAATTTGAGTAGCAGTATTTGGTGCCAAGTGAATACTTTATTTATTTGAGTACCAGTATTTGGTGCCGAGTGAATACTTTATTTATTTGAGTATTAGTTCAAATTCTGAGTTGCTACTCAGAATAATTTTAGTCAGGTTAATAATTACTTAACTTTATGAATACCAAACGTCGACTAGTACTACTTAAAATCATGGGATATTTCATAATATTAATCTCGCAATCTGAGTGAAACTGAAAGTTTATATTATTAATTTCCCTTCCCGGAACCTGTTGTACACGTACAATTTAAATTTCACTTCTATTTCCAGTATTTATAAGGCATTAAGCCGCGTTAAACATTCTCTACTTTGCTTCCAATTTTATTATCAGTTTTTGGCCACGCTTATAAAACAGCGCTTCTTAAGAAAATGCTCTACTTTCTCTTACTGTATTTTGCCGGGTAAGAATAACTTGGCACGTACTCAGCAACTTGGCACGTGATCAGCACGTAATAGTTTCTTTCTAAAACCTATTAGATTACTGCCACAATTAATAAGAAATTGTCTACATCCTGGTTCCTTAACCAACCGCACCCATAAATCTATAAGTATCTGCTCCGTAACCCTGTTATTTCCGTTAAGGGGGGGGGGGGGGGTTCAACCTGATTTTTTTTGTTGTTGCGAAACTAGTTTTCGAGATTGCATTTGACCCACAATCTGAGACCTGTGACAAAACATTTGAGGGGGTCCCGCGGTGTAGCAATTCCCATATTTGGTCCAATATTGGCCTAATTAGGGGTCGTTCACATATATTACGTAATCATTTTTGGAACATTTTTACCCCCCCCCCCCCTCCCTCCGTAATCAGTTTTACACATAGCTATTGTGTCAAAATTACACTAGCGTAATCATTCGGAAACCCCCATCCTCTTACCTGATTACGTAATATGTGAACGACCCCTTATGCCAAATCACCACATCATGCCCAAAACCCAAACTTTGGGTGCTCTACTTGTAGCTAGTGGTCTTCTTAACTCGCACATACATTTTTATCCGGATTGCGCTCAACTTATTGCATGTCAATTTTTTAGAGGCCTAAATAAAAATCGAAAAAGTTTAGTTATTTAGGCCTCTAAAAAATATTGCCGGCCAAATTCTGAATTTTGCCCGGCAAAATATGGGTATGGCTTCTCAGGTGAACGAACGGGGTCCGGGATCCCCTCAAAAGTTTGGTCATGATCCTAGTTTTTTGGTCAACTGCTATCTCGAAAACAAGTTTCACAAGCAAATCTTTAAGTATCTCAATCTGCTCCGGAGTTGAATCCCCCCCCCCCCCCCCCCCCCCCCGGTTTCTTCGGGTATGCTGCACTGACTACTAAGAAATACGATAAGCTTCCTCCTTGACAGGCTTACTAGTTAATTAATGAAATATTGTCTGGAACTTTGATTTCTTGTTCCTCGACCACCCATAAATCTATAAGTATCTGCTCCGGAGTTGATCCCCGTGCTGGTGAATATTAAAGACGTAGTGATCCTGTTATTTCCCTGTAAAGAGCAGTTTATCAAGCAATTGGTATCAATCTTTATCTTAAATCTTGGATTCAGAGATATATGCTATGTGTAGCTCGTTCAGATAGTATAGGAATTCTAATTCCTAGATCACCCTCTAAACCTACAAGGAAATATTTCCTGTAGATAATGCTGGATACTTTTAGTATGATATTATTGTGTGATTTAATTGTAATTTCGAGGTTTTAGGAGCCTAATTCATATTCTGTGGTATAATAGTAGGTCATTATTACATTGTATCTATAGTGTCGTCAGTTTAAAATGACTGCAAATATAATATTGGGCTGTTCCAATTAATATAAAGTAAAAATACAATCAGTGAGATAGCTGGATATTTAAAGGGACCAGTTTAAATTGCTGGCACTTTTATAAATTGGTCTGCTTTTAATTCCCGTCGTTTTAATTGTGTCGGTGATGTAACAAAAGGAACCATCTTGCCATGTAATGGATCTATATTATACAGCGTATCATTTCGATGATTTGATTATACAAACAACGTTGCAATGTCTGGTTGTTAGATAGGGTCCGTTTATATAAAAGGTCGTACAGAGAATATAAATCTGTTATGGCTGAGTTGCATTTTGTTGTAGTTTAAACGAGTAATACGATATTACTATTCTCTACTACCCAAAGTCCCGTGTAATTAATGAGCGTGATCTGCGTTTTTAATATCTTAGTTTGATACAATAGTATTGCTATCACTAGAAGTCGCAGCTTTATAAGTTACTAAAAAGTAGAAATTTGTTTATTTAAACTTTGAATTAAATAGCAATATACAATTATACATGGATATTCAGGTGGTTCTCTTACTGTTAGTCCTTAGTTTATATGCATAGGCTGTGTTGATTGGTTCCCAAATGTAGAGCTTCACTGAGTTCTCACTTCTCACCATGACCATCAGACGAAACTCAAGTGGTTATTATGAAACTGGGAAACCTTGTGATGGTTGGTAAATGGTAGGTAAATTTTAGGTAAATGGTTGGTAAATGGATGGTAAATTGTAGGTAAATGGTTGGTAAATGGTTTGTGAATTGATGGTAAATGGTTGGTAAATTGTAGGTTAATGGTTGGAAAATGTAGGTAAATTGTTGGTAAATGGTTGGTAAATGGTTGGTAAATGGTTGGTAGATGGTTGGTAAATGGTTGGTAAATGTTAAGGAGACTCTAAATATCGCACAATCACCCTCATGACGTTATCCGAGTAGTTTTAACCGTTATCTTGGTAAGATAACAGTTAACAGATATCAACAACGGCCGATGGTTCATGGAACATTTTAGCGTTAGCTTGTGAATTCGCTATTTGTTCTCTCTCAATCGTGAATGGCATTTAACCGTTAAACCGTTTACAACTGTCCATTAGCGGCTTTTCATGACCATTCAATGCACAGGTTATTATTATTATTTCGTCACAAGAATTATTGTTAAGTTTTCCTCACGTTATCTATTTTAGTCTTTTAGTGGCTTTGTTTGTACGCATTTAATTGCCACTAACGGCTTTTAATGGCATTCCCAGCAGCGGTTTTATTATTTTCACATCTCTAAACGACAAAATCGAATTTATAAAAGTATAAAAGCTTCAACAGATAAACATGTTACTCTATTTCAAATCTACGTGGAATGTGGATGTTGCCGATACTTTCAAATCAACCTGATTGCTGGTAGTATTGGGGGATACTGTTTAATTCAATGAGTCCCACTATATTTCACAGAAATATATCAATTATGGTTTATTGTACAGTAATATGCGGTTAAATTGGGACTCTAGAATCATGAACTGTCATTTAAACAGGAACAGTAACTGTAGGTGCACTATTATAGTGCACCGATTTAGAATTGGCGCGGTGGAGATCTCGGTTAATTATATTAAAATTTAAAGGGCTTGATGGTAATTCCACTGAACAGTGAACATGCTATAATCTTTTAATGAACTTGGAGCATACCTTAATAAGTTCGTATTTTTGACCGTTAAATCGATTAAAAGTGGTCCGGTAAGATTTGATTAAAAATTTATTAGATTTTAATCGAAATTCCCTCTCAACTCGCGCAGACCTCCCAGTCATAGTGTCCTACTTAAGTACTTAGTGTCCTACTTAAGTACTTAGTGTCCTACTATGCAGGACCCTCTCACTAAAATTTAAGATTTTGCCGTGGGAGTATTTGCTCGCACTGCGCACAGTTCAACTAACCAACTAGATGTTATGGATATTTACTGTCTGATGACGTGGTAACAGTTCTACAAGTGTCACATGTTTAACTGTAACGTCAAGTGGGATATAAATGGAATATTTCTCAGAAACTGTAAAACCATTCCGCTAATTATTAAAGTTCCCGAGAAATGTTACTATTACTCCTTGTCCTACCCAGTATATCCTGTTTAGTACTTTTGTCAGAAAACGGCACTTGTTTGCTGAATTATCAATTAATGAGATGCTATTAGTTGCCTGTTATTCTGTTATTAGGGCAAAAATCGACATTTGTTTTGTAATTTGCGTCGCGTCGGTCATCCGAGAAATTCGAAACTAGCACAAATAGTTGATTTGAATGTTTTACGTAAATCAATAACATAACACCTGACAACGTCTCCAGTATCGATTATTCGCCCTATATCGACCTTTTTACGAATTGTTGTTACATTGTATTTGTTCCACAGAGCAATTCGAAACTGTTCAGAAATTGTTCATAAAACATAAAACTTGATAATGTCTCCATTAATATTATAATCAAATATTTGCCGATCGTTCTGCAAACTCTGCCGTCATACTCGAATGATCCTTTAACAGTTCGGACGATGATTCGTAATATTGAAATTATTGGACAGTAACATTTTATCGTAAAAATGCCATTTTTCGTGACCAAAATTGTGATATCTAAGTATTTACAGTGCAGTATCATTTGTCGCAAAAAATCAGAATAATCAGAAATTATTTGGAACTCCCAAAGACTGTCTAAGTATTTAGTTAGTATTTTTCTGGATGACAGATGACTTAAACACCTAAATTATACCAAGGTAAATGCTATCAATAGTTTAAACGATGGTTTATACCGTTAACGAAGCATTTAATGATACACATTTCCCCCCGCAATGTTAAAATATATTCAATATGTGACATATGTTATCCAATTATGCAACTATGTTGCCCAAAAATCAGGTTTCTGAGATGAAGGAATGTCGAATCTACAAAATGAAAATAACCCAAAAAACGCTTCAAAATAACACAGTCAGATGTATGTAGAATGTAGAATGTAGAATGTAGAATGTAGATGGCGATGGATTAATTAAAATTATCGCAAGTTACGATACGGAATTATATCGTTTCTCATCAGACACTTCTTAAATTCTACTGAAAGCAACAATTAAGGGTCTTCATCAAAATTCTCTAGAAATCGACTTTATAGTTGTTTCTGATAGAGGGGAGTGATATCTATCAGCTGCTTTTAGTCCCATGGAAAAATATTGTTCCTAGCCGAAATTATCGCCGGTCTAAGGTCAGCGCAAATTCTGAAAATCGAGTCTAAAAATCTATCTTCTCCCACTTTTTTTGAGCAATCACCCTGAAACTTTCAGGATATGTTCTAGGGACCATTTAGAAGAGATCGCTCATACAAAATTTTGAGATAGGCCTTTCAAAATTTTTATTCAATTTTGAAAATCTTGGACCTCAAAAAATCGTAAAAAAACAAGGTCCAAGATTTTCAAAATACAATAAAAAATTTTTAAAGGCCTATCTCAAAATTTTGTATGAGCTATCTCTTCTAAATGGTCCCTAGAAAATATCCTGAAAGTTTCAGGGCGATTGCTCAAAAAATGTGGGAGAAGATAGATTTTTAGACTCGATTTTCAGAATTCGCGATTGAAAATCGCTCGCGCAATACAATTACACATAAGCGCTGACCTTAGACCGGCGATAATTTCGGCTAGGAACAATATTTTTGCATGGGACCAAAAGCAGCTGGTAGATATCACTCCTCTCTATCAGAAACAACTATAAAGTCAATTTCGAGAGAATTTTGATGAAGACCCCCCCCCCCGGCCCCCTTAATGATCAAAAATTAAAAGCGTCATTGTTTCCAGCTGTAAAATATGATTTCCCCCAAACTGAAACATGGAGTTTGACACAATATATAAAGAGTCATATGAAAATACTTAAATTCGAATGTGTAGATGTACTACTGCTAACCTTCGTTATCATGGTTATACGACGAAGGATCGTTTTTTATTGCATCGCTTCGCGGCGGATATTAACTGGGTCGGAGTTTCCCAAACGTCACTCCTACATCGATATATAACTTCCGAAATTAAAAATCAAAAATGGCGACTGCAGTGCAATGGTGAGACTTTATACCTTTATACCTTTATACCTTTATACCTTTATACCGAAATCCCCCCCCCCCCCACCTCGATAGAGTATTTGAATATAAAAAAACTTTTGTTCAGGTACAAGACGAAATGAAGCGGACCGTACACGATCAGATACGATCGTCTTGGGAGGCATACCCTGTGGACGAGAGAGTTCACTGGGCTACACAGTGGCCTGGACAGGTAACTATGTAATTAATTAGTGATTAATTGATTATATGATAATTGGTTATCTGGAAGATATTTAATTGCTTTATTGTTACATGTTAATTCAATCGAGATTCAAGGTGTCACGCTGAGCAGAATATTTGAAACTAGTAAAATAATAAGATTTCAGGTTCTGACCCGCTTCCTTTCCACAGGTTGTATTGGCAGTGTCCCAGATATTCTGGACTAACGAGGTCCACGAAGCTATCAGAGATAACAACCTACCAGACTACCTTCAGTTCCTTCGTGACCAGCTGGAAGCTATCGTAGCTCTGGTCCGAGGTGATCTGTCTAAACAAGCGAGGATAACGCTCGGATCTCTGGTGACTATAGACGTGCACGCAAGAGATGTGGTGGAAGAGCTGGCAAATCTCCAGGTTTCCTCCTGAGAACAGTTTCGATTGGCTGTCCCAGATGAGGTACTATTGGGAGGACGACGACTGCGTTATCAGGATCATTAACGCTCATATCGTGTACGGATACGAGTACCTTGGTAATTCCTTCCGACTTGTCATCACTCCCCTCACAGATAGATGTTACCGAACCTTGGTCAGTGCCTTCCATCTCCATCTAGGAGGAGGTCCTGAGGGACCTGCTGGAACCGGCAAAACGGAAACCGTCAAAGATTTAGCTAAAGCCATCGCCATCCAATGTGTAGTGTTCAACTGTTCCGATGGTTTGGATTACCTTGCGATGGGAAAGTTCTTCAAAGGTCTAGCGGCAGCGGGCGCTTGGTCCTGCTTCGACGAGTTCAACCGAATTGAGCTGGAGGTGCTGTCTGTCATCGCTCAGCAGATGTTGACTATCCAGAGAGCTATCATTGCGGAGGTAGACACGTTCATCTTTGAAGGTACTGAGTTGGACATTATCCGGTCTTGTTTCGCTAACATCACCATGAATCCCGGATACGCTGGTAGGTCTGAACTGCCTGATAATTTGAAGGTGCTGTTCAGAACTGTGGCTATGATGGTACCAGACTACGCTCTCATCGGTGAAATTATGTTGTATTCCTTCGGTTTCGTTGATGCCAGAAACCTTTCCGTGAAGATTGTCACAACATACAGACTCTGCTCGGAGCAGCTCTCTTCACAGTTCATTACGATTACGGAATGAGAGCTGTAAAAGCCGTATTGTCAGCTGCAGGTAATCTCAAACTAAAGTTTCCCGATGATGTTGAGGACATCCTCCTCCTGCGGTCCATCAATGATGTCAACAGACCGAAGTTCTTGTCTCATGACATCCCGCTATTTGAGGGTATCCTTTCAGATCTCTTCCCTGGAATTGAACAACCTACACCAGACTACGACGTGTTCATCAAAGCTGCTCAAACTATTTGTGCTGACAAAAACTTGCAACTTACCGATTCCTTTACGGAAAAGCTGATCCAGACCTACGAGATGATGATAGTCAGGCACGGATTCATGATGGTCGGTGAACCGTTCGCCGGAAAGACTGTGGTTATAGACTGTCTTGCAGAGATGCTCACCCTTCTCAACTCTCAAGGGCAAATGGATGAACTGAGAGTCCACTACAAAGTCATCAACCCCAAGTCCATTACTATGGGGCAACTGTTCGGGCAGTTTGATCCTGTCTCTCACGAATGGACTGACGGAGTGGTTGCTAACACTTTCAGAGAGCAAGCCTCCGCAGGGAATGATGATAGAAGATGGGTACTGTTTGACGGTCCTGTAGATACTCTATGGATTGAAAGCATGAACACAGTGCTGGACGACAACAAGAAACTATGTCTCATGAGCGGTGAAATCATCCAGCTCTCCAACTCTATGAACCTTATATTTGAGACCAACGATCTGTCTCAAGCTTCTCCTGCCACTGTTAGCAGATGTGGTATGATCTACATGGAGCCAGGTTCTCTAGGCTGGAGACCACTCTTCAACTCCTGGTTATCCACTCTTCCACAAAAAGCTCAAGACTCCGTTGGAAAATTACTGACCGGACTGTTTGACTGGGTTGTAGACAAGTCACTGAGATATGTTACTAAATTCTGCAGAGAAATCGTCGCCACTCCACAAATAAACAGGGTTCAGTCTCTTATGAAAATAATTGGCATCTTTATGAACAAGACCTTTGCTGACGACGATAACCCAGACGACAAGGTGCTCAAGACTTGGACTCAGTGCTTCTTCATGTTCGGATGTGCCTGGTCTCTGGGAGCTACCGTTAACAGCGAAGGACGAGAAAAGTTTAACGAATTCCTCAAAGAACTGCTCTCCTCGAAACCACCTCCAACTGTAGGTAAAATTGATCTGCCTTTCCCTGATTCCGCCTCAATCTACGACGCTATGTTCGACAAACCATCGTCTGGCAGAGGCAGGTGGTCCAACTGGACTGAGAGCTTGAAAGCTATCGCATTTGAAAAGGACGCGAAGCTGAGTGAAATTATTGTTCCAACCCTCGATACCGTCAGATACACCTACCTCATGGATCTGTACGTGAATAGTGGAACTCCCTGTCTGTTTGTGGGGCCTACTGGTACTGGCAAGTCTGTATACATCAAGGACAAGCTCATGAATAATCTGGATGAAAACTACGTGCCGTTTTTCATCAACTTTTCAGCTCAGACCACAGCAAACCAGTTGCAGTCCATGATCATGGGGAAGCTTGATAAACGTAGAAAGGGAGTCTTCGGACCGCCAATGGGAAAGAAAAGTGTGATATTTGTTGACGACGTGAACATGCCCGCTCTTGAACAATACGGTGCTCAGCCTCCAATCGAGCTTATCAGACAATACTTTGACCACGAGATGTGGTACGATTTAAAGGACACTACCAAGATGAAGTTGCAAGATCTCATCATAGTCGGAGCTATGGGTCCTCCCGGTGGTGGCAGAAACCCTGTCACTTCTCGTTTCATCCGTCACTTCCTGATAACGAGCATGTTAGAGTTTGATAACGATACTCTCACTCGAATCTTCACAAACATCATCTCTCATTGCTTCAAGACAGAGTCCTTCCCACCAGAGTTCCACCTGGTTGGTAACCAGATAGTCCAAGCAACCCTCACAGTTTACCAAGCTGCCATAGATAACCTCCTTCCCACTCCTGCTAAATCACATTACGTTTTCAACTTGCGAGATTTCAGTAGGGTAGTCTTGGGAGTGCTCCTGATAAAGCCGTCTTCTGTTGAGAACAAACGCACGATGATCAGATTGTGGACCCATGAAGTTTACCGAGTATTCAACGATAGGTTGATTGATGATGCTGATCGAGAGTGGCTGTTTAAACAGAGCAAGGAGATTGTCAACAATTGTTTCAAGGACAAATTTGATGATGTGTTTGAGAATCTGAAAGGAAACAGCAGCTCAAAGATTGTGTCCGATGACATGAGATCTCTGATGTTCGGAGATTATCTCGGGACCGTAGATGAGCCTGATTGCCAGAACAGATTGTACGAAGAAGTGCCTGATGTAGGAGAACTGACCCAGGTTGTGGAGACATGTCTGGATGAGTACAACAACACGCACAAGACTCCAATGAACCTGGTCATCTTCAGATACTTCCTGGAACATCTCTCCAGGATCTGCAGATGTCTCAAGGTGTTTGGTGGCAATGCACTCCTGGTGGGAGTTGGTGGCAGTGGCAGACAGTCTCTCACCAGACTTTCAGCCTACATGTGTAACTACAAAATAGTGCAGCCTGAGATATCCAAGTCTTATGGAATGACCGAATGGAAGGAAGATTTGAAGGCTCTGTTGATATCTGCTGGAGTGAAGGGTTCTCCAACTGTTTTCCTACTGACTGATGCACAAATCAAGATGGAGTCCTTCCTCCAAGATATTGATAACTTGTTGAACACTGGCGAAGTGCCAAATCTCTTCCCACCTGATGAGAAGCAGGAAATCATTGAAGGTGTTCGAGCTGTCGCACAACAAGAGGACAAATCCAAAGAATACTCGCCTATGGCACTATTCGCAATGTTCGTGAACAGATGCAGAGAAAACCTCCACATCATATTGGCTTTCAGTCCTATCGGAGATGCTTTCAGGATCCGCCTAAGACAGTACCCCTCGTTCATCAATTGCTGTACCATCGATTGGTTCACTGCTTGGCCTCAAGATGCTCTGGAAAGAGTTGCCTTCAAGTTCTTGGAGGCGATTGAGATGGACGATTCTATCAGAGAGGGTGTTGTCACGACGTGTCAGACATTCCACGAAAGTGTTAGACTCCTATCTGAGAAGTTCTACAAGGAGCTAACTCGACATAATTATGTGACCCCCACATCATATCTTGAACTGATCGGTTCATTCAAGAACCTGATCAAGAGGAAGCAGGATGAGATTATGAAGAACAAGACCAGGTACGAGGTTGGTTTGGAAAAGCTTAAATTTGCTGCCGAACAGGTGGGATCAATGCAGATCGAGTTGAAGGAACTGCAGCCCCAGCTGGTCATCACTGCCGCAGAAAACGAGAAGATGATGATACACATAGAAAAAGAGTCAGTGGATGTGGAGAAAATGAGTAAGCTAGTACGAGCTGACGAAGAGGTTGCAACTGCTAAAGCTAAGGAGGCGACAGATTTAAAAGAAGAGTGTGAGAGTGATCTGGCGGAGGCTATACCTGCGCTGGAGGCAGCTCTTTCTGCTCTGGACACCTTAAAACCAGCTGATATTACCATCGTGAAATCCATGAAAAGTCCTCCTGGTGGAGTGAAGCTTGTTATGGCGGCTGTTTGTGTGATGAAAGATTGTAAACCAGACAGAATAAATGATCCAGCAAATCCCGGCAGTAAGATCGTTGATTATTGGGGACCGTCCAAAAAACTGCTTGGAGACATGAGTTTCTTGAATGGCTTGAAGATTTATGATAAGGATAATATCCCTGTACACATTATGAAGAAGATTAGGCAGGAATTTGTTCCAAACCCAGAGTTTGATCCCAACAAGGTAAAGAATGCTTCTTCCGCTGCTGAAGGATTGTGCAGATGGGTTTTAGCTCTTGAGATTTATGACAGGGTTGCTAAGGTGGTAGCTCCAAAGAAAGAGGCCCTGAGAGAAGCTGAAATTTTAGTGAACAAACTTATGGAGACTCTGGACGAAAAACGTGCTGAGTTGGCCGCTGTTGAAGCAAAACTGACTGCTTTGAAAGACAGTCTGAAAGATAAGATTGAGATGAAAGAGAGATTAGAAATTCAAGTTGATCAGTGTGAGAAGAAGTTGGTTCGAGCTGAAAAGCTGATCGGTGGCCTGGGCGGTGAGAAAGACAGGTGGTCCCAATCTGCTGAAGATCTGCAGTTTATGTACGATAACCTCATCGGTGATGTTTTGATATCCTCGGGTGTTGTTGCTTACCTTGGTCCGTTCACCACGTCTTATCGTGGTATTTGTGTCAATGAATGGGTAAAATCCTGTTCCGACTGCGGTATCACATGTTCCCAGGATTTCTCACTTAGCAAAACTTTAGGTGATCCCATTAAGATTCGGGCTTGGAACATCGCTGGTCTTCCATCAGATGCATTCTCCATTGACAATGGTGTTATCGTGGATAATGCTAGACGTTGGCCGCTGATGATAGATCCCCAAGGTCAAGCCAACAAATGGATCAAAAATTCTGAAAAGGAAAACAAGCTATCTGTCGTAAAATTCACAGACTCCGACTTCATGAGGACTCTAGAGAACTCAATCCAATTTGGCAACCCCGTGCTGATTGAAAATGTTGGAGAAGAGCTTGATCCTTCTCTTGAACCCCTGCTACTTAAACAAACTTTCAAACAGGGCGGTATTGTTTGCATCAAGCTGGGAGAGGAGACAATTGAGTACTCCGCTGACTTCAAGTTGTACATAACCACCAAGCTAAGGAACCCTCATTACCTACCAGAGATTTCTGTCAAAGTTTCTCTTTTGAACTTCATGATCACACCAGAGGGTCTCGAAGATCAGCTGCTTGGTATCGTGGTTGCGAAAGAAAGACCAGAGCTTGAGGAGGAGAGGAATGCTCTCATCATTCAATCTGCCGCCAACAAGAAGAGTCTCAAAGAGATTGAGGACCAGATTTTGGAAACTCTGTCCTCATCGGAGGGAAACATTCTTGAGGACGAATCCGCTATTCATGTCCTGAACAACGCTAAAGTTCTGTCAAATGAGATTGAAAAGAAGCAAGTTGTTGCGGAGAAAACAGAAAAGATGATCGCTCAATCCCGAGAGGGTTACAGATCTATTGCCAAGCATTCTTCTGTCCTCTACTTCTCCATTGCAGATCTGCCAAACATTGATCCTATGTACCAGTACTCTTTGGCTTGGTTCATCAATCTGTACATGATGTCTATTGAGCAGTCCAACAAATCAAAGATCCTGGAAAAGAGGTTGAGGTATCTTACTGATCACTTCACGTACAGTTTGTACAAGAACGTTTGTAGGTCCCTGTTCGAGAAAGACAAGCTGCTCTTCTCCTTCCTACTTTGTACTAATCTTTTAAAGGACCGTGGAGAGGTGAACCAGGAGCAGTTTATATTCTTCCTGACCGGAGGAATTGGTTTAGAGAACAGTGTTCGGAATCCAGCACCAGAATGGCTGTCAGATAAGAGTTGGGATGAAGTCTGCAGGATGTCTGATTTGCATGGATTTGGAGGATTTAGGAAGAGTTTCATGGCGAACATCCTGGATTGGAAGCGGTATTATGATGCAAAAGAACCGCAAAAGGTGAAACTACCCGAGCCATGGCATTCAAAGCTTAGTGACTTCCAAAAGATGACGGTGCTACGATGCATCAGAGCTGACAAGGTGGTTCAGGCCGTGACAAACTTTGTGGAAGAGAAACTTGGACGTCACTTCATCGAGCCTCCACCCTTTAATATTGCAACATGTTTCCAGGACTCTAACCCCATTATGCCCCTTATTTTTGTGCTCTCTCCTGGTGCTGATCCCATGGCTGGACTACTGAAATATGCTGAGGACAAAGGATACGGTGGTTCAAAATTCAATGCTATCTCTCTTGGTCAGGGTCAAGGTCCGATCGCTAAAAAGATGATAGAAGTTGCCCAAGAGGAAGGTAGCTGGGTTGCTCTACAAAATGTGCATCTTGCTGTTTCATGGATGCCACAGCTTGAAAAGATATGTGAAGATTTCACCCCAGATACTGTGAACAGCAACTTCAGACTTTGGCTGACCAGCTACCCCTCTCCTAAATTCCCAGTAACAGTTCTACAAAACAGTGTTAAGATGACAAACGAACCCCCAACTGGTCTCAGAGCAAACCTTAACCAATCCTTTACTACTGATCCCGTGAGCGATCCCAAGTTCTTTGCAGGGTGCCCTGAAAAAGAGGTCGTCTTCGAGAAGCTTCTCTTCAGCTTGTGCTTCTTCCATGCGATCGTGCAAGAGCGTAAGAAGTTCGGTCCTATCGGGTGGAACATCGCTTATGGGTTCAACGATTCAGATCTTCGCATTAGTCTTCAGCAGCTGCAACTGTTTGTGAACGAGTACAGTCACATTCCCCTCAATGCAGTGACGTATCTGACGGGTGAGTGTAACTATGGAGGCAGGGTGACTGATGATTGGGACAGACGCTGCATTACCACCATCCTCAAAGTCTACTACACCGAGGATGTTGTTCACGACCCCAAGTACAAATTCTCTCCCTCTGGCACCTATCACGCTCCTCCTAATGGAACTTATGAGTCTTACATCCAGTTTATCAAACAGCTGCCACAGACTCAGCTTCCTGAAGTGTTTGGTATGCACGACAACGTGGACATCTCCAGAGAACTCCAAGACACAAAGCATCTCTTTGAGGATCTGCTCTTAACTCAAGCGCAGTCGACTGGAGGTGGTGCTGGTGGAGCTACCACTGAACAGAAGCTCACAGACATCGCTACTGACATCCTTTCTAAGTTACCTCCTCAGTTCGATATAGAGGATGCAGTGGAGAAATATCCTGTTACGTACGAGGAAAGTATGAACACGGTCCTTGTCCAGGAGATGGAACGATTTAACCGACTTTGTGGAGTCATCTCAACCTCGCTAACCAACCTTCAGAAAGCTATAAAAGGTCTAGTTGTTATGTCAGAGTCACTGGAGAGTGTGGCTAGCACTCTCTTGGTGGGTAAAGTACCTGATCTATGGTCCAAAAGTTCTTACCCCAGTCTTAAACCCCTGGGATCATACATTAACGATCTCGTGGCTCGACTTAAATTCCTGAAGACCTGGTACCACGACAATAAGCCAACCTGTTTCTGGATCTCCGCTTTCTACTTTAACCAAGCGTTCTTGACGGGCGTGAAACAGAACTACGCCAGAAAGTACACTATTCCCATCGATAAACTGGAGCTAGATTTCGAGGTGTTACCATGTGATGACATAGACTCACATCCCGAGGACGGAGCTTATGTGAGGGGACTTTATTTGGAGGGTGCCCGATGGGACACCAAGAAGATGTCTCTAGCCGAGTCCTTCCCTAAGATATTGTACGATACAGTTCCCGTCATTTGGTTGAGACCAGCCATTATGACAGAGATATCCACTGAGGGTAAGTACGTCAGTCCTGTTTACAAGACTAGTGCGAGACAAGGCCAACTCTCGACCACCGGACATTCTACTAACTTTGTGCTGGCGATTAATCTGCCTACTATAAAACCCCAAAAGCATTGGGTACTCCGCGGAACGTGCCTTCTCTGCAGCTTGGACGATTAAACGTTTTGAAAGAGCATTAAAATGATTCGTATTTTGTAAAAAGTTAAAGCAATGATGTTTACTTAGAAGACTTGATTAAAATTTTAATGCACGTTGTTGGGTAAAGCTGTGCGCGAGACAAGCTGTATTCTCCATACTCCTCTTAAAATATCGATATTTTAATCTTATAGGTATAGTCAGAAAAATCGATCATTAGTTTGTGACACAACATGTTGTGAATGCGACTGTCACTGTGGTGAGGAACGTATAACACGCTATATAATCATAACTGTAGTCTAGATAGATTTATAATAGATTGATAGATTTATAATAGATTGATAGATTTTCGTATTTATTATGGATTACGGCGTGGCGGAGAAACTTTCGCTTCCAACACTTAGAACCCGTGCCCTTGTTAATTAAGTGATTTTAGAAAAAAACAAAGAAGTGAAGTGAAGATTTGCACGATTAATAAATAGTAAACTGTAAAGCTGTAAGAACTATGTAAATGTTTTCGCGTGGTCTAAATAACATCTTTTTAAGAGCAATAGTTGTATGTACAAAACTGTGTAACAATAGTGTTCATAAACTTCAGATATTCATTTTCATAACTTGTAACGAAGGATATTCATTTGTTAAATTTTTTATAGAAAGGTCAGAGGTGTTAAGTACTGCCTTGGGTCGTTCATTGCCATCCCATCCCCACTGCAGCTGCCCCTGCACTTCTGTGCGGATGAATTCATATAATGGTGTTTAAAATAAATTGGAAGGAAGCTGGTGGTGGTCCTGGTAGTTTTCCATTTTGACTGTCTTTTGCTTTACTTCTTTAAAAATGTTTCGGTAGTTTGCGTGAAATTAAAACGGCAATAATGAATAATTGTAAACTATTAAAGTATTTAAAAGCAGCTAGCAGGCAAGCTTATGAAAATAGTAAAATACAACAACTCGCGTTGGAATTGTTTTCGATTTCAGTCTAGCCTATGCCCTACCTACATACCATATACTATAAGTCAAGTTTAATGATGACATGATGGCCAGGTCGCGCCGGCTTTTTATTTTTTCTATTTACTTACTTTACTTTACGTTGTTTAGCTGCAAGGCAGCAGGGTCATCTATGAAAACCACCCTTTTTCTTTTACTTTGGACAACCATGGCCGGCACCAGCACTTACAGGAAACCGAAGGATCGATAACTAAGGCCAGCGACGGTTAAGGTATTATACCACACTTTCTTCGCCCGTGGCTCCGCTGTATTGATCATGTACAGCTCCTCATTTAACCCTCACACATGATTTCTCGAGCATTCGGCTGAGTAGACCGGGGGGCTGCATAGGTTCATCGGAACCCTTAGCAGAACGGCTACGCCGCTCACCCCATGGCTGCGCTAGTGGCACAGGTGAGGATCGAACCCGCAACCTCGTGATTGAGCAGCATATCACGAGTAAGGCAGGTCGACTAACGAACTGCGCCACTAAGCAACTATTTATGCATGATTATATTTTTAGTGGTTTCACAGCCGAGCTGAGCGAAACAATTTTACAAAAACCTTTAAAAATGCTAGTATTTTTCAACATTATTTAAATTGTATCACGTTGCCCACCGCGAGCTGATTACTCGTGAGGTCGAAATGGGCGCTGGGTGCGATCTTTCTGAAATTTTGCCTGTTGGTTCGGTGGATGATTTTAGCCACAGCGCCTTAAAATTAGCAAGATCGCAGATAATCACACAAAGTTACAGCTAATTTAGTGATGTAAACACTCGTCGCAATATACTGGAATTGGATCGAGCGCGTTTCTATGGTTACTAAGCGCGTGCCCAAATATAATAATGATTAGTCCGCTCATTAGCAATTTGAGAGCGTGTCGCATGTAGCATTATTATAATTCTATGATATAGTCTATATTAGATTTAGTTTTTCATTCCTTGGCGGTCCTCATTTCTGTGGGATATGTTAATGTCCCAGTTTATGTACCTTACATGATTTTGAAATATAGTATCAAGGAGAAATAAAACATAAAATTCAGTCATCCGATCAACACTAGAGGTCCTAATGAAATGAAATCAAGACTTCAAACACGTACAATTATTGGCACTAAAGAAGTATTGTCAAGTGTGATTCGTGGTCAGAAACGTATGCCATTCTGTATGTAAGCCACAATTAGGAGGAAACATCAAGATAGTACGATATTAGTATTACAACTTTACAGATGACAGATAACAAATGTAACTGTCACCAAAATGCAGTTAAGCCTAACGCCTACTTTAGGCCTAACTCTGCGTTGGGCCTTTCTGGTTAGGTCTAACTGCATCTTGGTGACAGTAAGGAGTAAGTATAACATCAAAATTTAACTAACCAAATATTTTAAAATTTAACTAACAACGACAGTTAAGACTAGCTTTGCAAATTTAAACTTGGCAATGTTGATACTAATTCGCGGCTTCGTTTTTAATACCTTAAAAACATTGGACAGTTGTAAACATCAAACACAGATGAAATCTTCAAAAGAGATCTCGCACTTTTAGTCATGACATATTATTATTATAAATACCAAACAAGATCTTGAAATTCAAAAGCTAGATTAGCACAAGTGACTAATTTAAGAATGCCCGATGGGTAAGGTGCACGGTTCAATACGGTAAACGTTAAATACTAGTGGAGCCGCGGCAAAGTACTAAAATGCGCGGGCAATTCTAAAATTTATAATGTCGCCGCGCCTCACGTCTTGTATTATTAGACAACAACATCAAATTCACTGTCCATATTTTGTAACAAAATCTAAAATTTCATAATACATGGTGTTGTATATGTTTTAATATCACTATAACTAAAGCGGACAAGCTTTTTATTTTACAACAATATCATTCGGTCTCCTTGTCACTGTAACACTTTGAAAGAAACACGAAGATTGAACAGCGAGACAGAGAATGGACAGTGAGACAGAAATTGAACAGTCAGACAGGGAATGAACACCGAGAAAGATTGATAGGTAAGACAGGGAATTGACTCTAAAATAGAGAATGAACACTGATGCAGAGATTGAATAATGAGACGGAGAATTAACGTCGAGACAGGAATGAACAGTGATTTAATAGTTAAACAAAGAATGATCACTGAGAAAGAGATTGAATAGTTAAACAAATAATGAACGTCGAGACAGATTGAATAGTGAGACGGAGAATGAACGTCGAGACAGAGAATGAACATTGAGACAGATTGAATAGTGAGACGGAGAATGAACGTCGAGACAGAGAATGAACATTGAGACAGATTGAATAGTGAGACGGAGAATGAACGTCGAGACAGAGAATGAACATTGAGACAGATTAAATAGTCAGACGGAGAATAAATGTCGAGACAGAGAATGAACGCTGAGACAAAGATTGAATAGTTAAACAAGAAAATGAACACTGAGACAGAGATTGAATAGTTAAACAGAGAATGAACGTTGAGACCGATTGAATAGTGAGATGGAGACAGATCGAATAGTTAGACGGAGAATATCATAATATGGTTAGTTTAATATCTAATATCTAAAATGATTGCACGGCTTTTAAAGTAATATATTATCAAACATTATCTTATCTATGTTATCTAATTTAGTTTCTTTTGTAAATATAGGATGCCACATCATTGACGGTATCTGACAGTTTCTTATATAATAATGCACGGACATCATCGTCCATCACGTCAAACTCAGGATCATTAACGAAGGAAGTTATTCTGTTTGAAAGCTCCCGCCAATCTCCTTTATAGTCTATGTCCCGTTTCTTCTTTCTTTTATCCCCATTTCCTCCAACCTCATCATCTTCTACTTCTTCATCCTCGTCTTCTGATGCTGGATAATCGCAGCATTTGTTTACATCTGCATCAGCTGGCCATATCCCAATATCACTTCCTGCAAAAATAATATCGGATTTTATATTTTGACTATTATAAGAATTGGAAGCAAAGCAATAGGGAAAACCTGGCAAACCCTGCGGAGATGTGATTTATGAGTCTGATGGCAGAGAGTGATAACCCACTTTAACAGACAAAATTATCTTTGTCTTTCCAACCCTGATAACAACCAGGGTCCACACGGATACCTCGCCTCGGAGGTCGAAGTAATGCCCTGCCTTTGATATTGATAATAATATTTACTGTTGGAAACTTCATATTTTCTCTACTAGCAGGCTCCACACCTCCTACATCGACGCGGACGCACTGCCATAGCACATGAACGAGTTATGAACCTCAATTTTGTCTTGTCTATTCAAATTGGAATGTAAACATGCATACAGATCAATTTAACAGACCTTTATCTTTTACGAAGAACAGTATGTTTCTGTAATCTTCAGGTAGGTCCTCCCATTGCATTTCATTAAACCATCATCAATAGCTTGAAAAATATGTCTGCAGGTGCAAGTTGGTCCTCTGATGTTCAGTTGGTGGGGCTCAGACCGGTGAGAGGATTTCACATAGAATACTCCATCAACGACCTTGCACACTTTGCTTGACCGTTTACCTTCTAAAATTACTGGCTGTTGTTCAAAAAATCAAACCAAGAGAGAACACATAATATTTTGTCGCTTTATAATTCAAATTATTACAAAAAAATACTCGATTCTCCAGAAATTTGCCTTGCACATATTATGTAGTGATATAGCACCAAGTTAGTGTCGTCGTTTTAAGCGGGTTTGAAACTTTTAACTCACCCTTATCGTATTTCAGTCGAAGTTTTCTCTTCTTTTTCCACCAATCCCAGAGAAGTTTGAGTGGAAGAGTAATTAATGAGGGAAACGTAGAGTAACACTGATGAAGACAGAGAGTTACCACTAAATGGGAGAGTAACTACTGAGCATGAGGGAAATGTAGAGTATCACTGACGAAGACAGAGAGTTAATACTGAGTGGGAGAATAACTTCTGAAGGAAATGTCTAGAGTAACACTGATGAAGATAGAGAGTTAACACTGATTGGGAGAATAACTACTGAGGGAAAGACAGAGAAGTTAACAGAGAGTTAACTCTCAGTGTGAGAGTAACTACTGAGTACTGAGGGAAATGTAGAATAACACTGATGAAGACAGAGAGTTAATACTGAGTGGGAGAGTAGCTACTGAGGGAAATATAGAATAACACTGACGAAGACAGAGAGTTAATACTTAGTGGGAGAATAACTACTGAGCATGAGGGAAATGTAGAGTATCACTGACAAAGACAGAGAGTTAATACTGAGTGAGGGAATAACTTCTGAAGGAAATGTCTAGAGTAACACTGATGAAGATAGAGAGTTAACACTGATTGGGAGAATAACTACTGAGGGAAAGACAGAGAAGTTAACAGAGAGTTAACTCTCAGTGTGAGAGTAACTACTGAGTACTGAGGGAAATGTAGAATAACACTGATGAAGACAGAGAGTTAATACTGAGTGGAAGAGTAGCTACTGAGGGAAATATATAGTAACACTGACGAAGACAGAGAGTTAATACTGAGTGGGAGAATAACTACTGAGGGAAATGTAGAGTAATACTGACGAAGACAGAGAGTTAATACTGAGTGGGAGAATAACTACTGAGCAAAATATAGAGTAACACTGACAAAGACAGAGAGTTAACTCTCAGTGTGATAGTAACTACTGAGGGAAATATAGAGTAACACTGACGAAGACAGAGAGTTAATACTGAGTGGGAGAATAACTAAGATGAGAGAAATGTAGAGTTACACTGATGACGACAGAGAGTTAACTCTCAGTGTGAGAGTAACTATACTGAGGGAAATGTAGAATAACACTGATGAAGACAGAGAGTTAATACTGAGTGGGAGAGTAGCTACTGAGGGAAATATAATAGAGTAACACTCACGAAGACAGAGAGTTAATACTGAGTCGAGTGGGAGATTAACTTCTGAAGGAAATGTCTAGAGTAACACTGATGAAGATAGAGAGTTAACACTGATTGGGAGAATAACTACTGAGGGAAATATAGAGTAACACTGACGAAGACAGAGAGTTAATACTGAGTGGAAGAATAACTGCTGAGAGAAATGTAGAGTAACACTGATGAAGACAGAGAGTTGATACTGAGTGGGAGAATAATTACTGAGAGAAATGTAGAGTAATACTGACGAAGACAGAGAGTTAATACTGAGTGGGAGAATAACTACTGAGCGAAATATAGAGTAACACTGACGAAGACAGAGAGTTAACTCTCAGTGTGAGAGTAACTACTGAGGGAAATGTAGAATAACACTGATGAAGACAGAGAGTTAATACTGAGTGGGAGAGTAGCTACTGAGGGAAATATAATAGAGTAACACTCACGAAGACAGAGAGTTAATACTGAGTCGAGTGGGAGATTAACTTCTGAAGGAAATGTCTAGAGTAACACTGATGAAGATAGAGAGTTAACACTGATTGGGAGAATAACTACTGAGGGAAATATATAGTAACACTGACGAAGACAGAGAGCTAGAGTTAATACTGAGTGGAAGAATAACTGCTGAGAGAAATGTAGAGTAACACTGATGAAGACAGAGAGCTAGAGTTAATACTGAGTGGGAGAATAACTACTGAGAGAAATGTAGAGTAACACTGATGAAGACAGAGAGTTGATACTGAGTGGGAGAATAATTACTGAGAGAAATGTAGAGTAATACTGACGAAGACAGAGAGTTAATACTGAGTGGGAGAATAACTACTGAGCGAAATATAGAGTAACACTGACGAAGACAGAGAGTTAACTCTCAGTGTGAGAGTAACTACTGAGGGAAATGTAGAATAACACTGATGAAGACAGAGAGTTAATACTGAGTGGGAGAGTAGCTACTGAGGGAAATATAGAGTAACACTGACGAAGACAGAGAGTTAATACTGAGTGGGAGAATAACTTCTGAACGAAATGTCTAGAGTAACACTGATGAAGATAGAGAGTTAACACTGATTGGGAGAATAACTACTGAGGGAAATATAGAGTAACACTGATGAAGACAGAGAGTTAATACTGAGTGGAAGAATAACTGCAGAGAGAAATGTAGAGTAACACTGATGAAGACAGAGAGTTAATACTGAGTGGAAGAGTAACTACTGAGAGAAATGTAGAGTAACACTGATGAAGACAGAGAGTGAACAATGAGTAGGGGGACATAAAATATGAAGTGCATGATAGTTGAATTACTCACACTGTAACTTTGATGTTATTCGATGAACCAACAAATCTCACATAGGCACAGAATTTAGTGATCGTTACATCGTTTGCAACACCAATAAAAACCTGAAAAATGGAAGTAATGATGTACTATTATCTCTACTATAGTTCAGAGAATTGTTTCTGTCTGTACGACCGCCCACGTGCAAATTAGATGAGAAATAGGAAGTTGCATAGTAACCATGGTAACGAAGATTGTTGTTCCCACGTGCACGTGCAAGGATTTGAGAGAGGCATTTTGATCGGTTTTTGTTATTACGTGGTGTTAAGTGCGAGCTATATTTTAATTGGCTGTATCTTCGGTTGTGATGAATATTTTTTTGATGCGATAGAAACTGACTACCAAAGAATAGTATTAGCTTCCTCCCTGTGACCACGGGTTTTCTAGTATAATTATGTAGGGGACAAGGTTACAACGAAACAGAACATCTTACAATCATCAAAAAGCGAAGATTTTATATCAAGATTAATATACAATGTAATATATTATATTTTATATAATATATTGATATTATATAAAGGATCATAGCAAGTATGTTGAACCTGATCATAACAATTTGAGGTTTCAATACTTACGTCTCACATACCTAAAGCCAGTCAATATCTGTTTCAATGTTTCTATCATGGCAGTCCAGAGTAACTATAGCTGTATTCTCTTGCATGTTTATTATCAGTTTCGCATCAATGAGGCAGAAGGAAGTCACTGACGAAACGTATGCATTCAGAATTGCACAACTTGCAATGCACCTATTATGTTGGTAACCGTTGATGCTGTCTGCCAATTCATCACAGCAGATGAAAAAGCACTCGAAACAACAACCATGTAGCTCTTTCAAATTCAAGCTGTATAACTATAGTCTATAATGCATATTATAATATGATCTACTGATGCAGGCGAAGCTAGGTCAGGAACGCAGCAATGTGAAGTGTGAACCGACGAAACCGGAAACAGGTAACCAAAGATCTCTGAATTCTCTGGTCCATTATTCAGTTCTGATGTTTCACACACACATACCTAAAATGAAGTAAATGTTATGAACGGCTATTTTTAAAAGAATACTAGAACTTGTATTATTTTTCTTCCCAATATAAAGATATACCAGTAGTTTGGCTGTTCAATATATTTTCATATTATATAAGATAACTGTATCGAGTGTACTTCTATATAACAAGAATCAGCTCTACAAAAGAGAATTGGAGTTGCTAAAAAATAGCAAAAAAAACAAATACATCTAAGTTGAGGTCAAACACAATGAAAAGTTTTCCAATGTGAAATTAATAGAAACATTTCCAACGGAAGTTTTTTAGAGGGTGAGACCTTTTTTAAATAAATTGACTGTCTAAAACAGAATTGCATATACTGCATAGGCTCAATAAAATGTGACCTCCAGATCAGTAAAATTAGGGGTGCTGGGAGAGCTGCATAGAGTCCACTAGTATTTAATATTAGCCTGTACTGGCTCAATAAAATGTGACCTCCAGATCAGTAAAATTAGGGGTGCTGGGAGAGCTGCATAGAGTCCACTAGTATTTAATATTAGCCTGTACTGGCTCAATAAAATGTGACCTCCAGATCAGTAAAATTAGGGGTGCTGGGAGAGCTGCATAGAGTCCACTAGTATTTAATATTAGCCTGTACTGGCTCAATAAAATGTGACCTCCAGATCAGTAAAATTAGGGGTGCTGGGAGAGCTGCATAGAGTCCACTAGTATTTAATATTAGCCTGTACTGGCTCAATAAAATGTGACCTCCAGATCAGTAAAATTAGGGGTGCTGGGAGAGCTGCATAGAGTCCACTAGTATTTAATATTAGCCTGTACTGGCTCAATAAAATGTGACCTCCAGATCAGTAAAATTAGGGGCGCTGGGAGAGCTGCATAGAGTCCACTAGTATTTAATATTAGCCTGTACTGGCTCAATAAAATGTGACCTCCAGATCAGTAAAATTAGGGGTGCTGGGAGAGCTGCATAGAGTCCACTAGTATTTAATATTAGCCGTTCAATACCGGCAGTCATCTCTTTTTTACTTTTTGAAAAAGTTCGTCCATCTTCTCCCCCACATAGCATGTATTGACTGTTGAGTCTTAACTAGATCTACCGTATTTTCCAGGCTTCAAAGGGTGTAGTTGTTCCATGCTCCAATTAATTCTAATTAATAATAAATTGAATTATAAACACTGCTCTCAAGTTTTAAAACTTTTACTCAGCTGTGTGAGAACAACTACAAAAGAACAAACTGAGATAAGTGCCACAAAAACTCTATCCTAAATTAACAGCCTTCCCGGCAATACACGAAATAATAATATAACTCAGTAACTTAGAGTCTCGAGTTCATGAATTAAGTTTTTCCAAATCATGAGTTGATAAACCGGTGAACAGATAAGTCTTGTAGAACTTGTAACTCTTCACTTTATATATCGTCGATCGGGTCCTGAAATATTAAACTCTGTTAATTTATGATCACAATTATATATCTATGGGGCCATCAGCCATCTACTTAGTACGTCTTGCATGTATGATATAGAGGGGTTGGATTTGGAATTTCGGACAGGGGGATGCCGAGGGGGGAGGGGTGGTTTCTGAAAATCCGGACGTCCGTGGGGCGGGGTACACCTTTTCACACCAGCCAAACAAAGGCCTAAGTTCTCAAATAATTACATGATAAAATTTTATAATGGATTACGTGGTGGTGCAGTGTGCGCGCGCGGACGCGCGAAATATTAATTTGATTTTTGGTTGTTGAAAATTGTGTCTTTTTAGCACGAAAACTGCCGAAAATTTGCTAGTTGAAACAGATGTTAACTCACCCTGGTTATTTTGTGAAATTTGATTTGGTACATTGCAAACTAGGGCCTCTGACCGAACTTTTGAGGGGCTTCCGGACTTGAGGGGCTTAGGCCCCAAGTTGGCGCTAGCACCCTGCGTTGATGAACGTTTTAGTAGAAGTTCAACTACAAATCGATTGTTTACATTTTACAACTAAGTCAAGTAACGACCACTTTGAGATCTTGCAGATCTTAGCACCGTAGCTGTTCATTGTAATAGCCCTCGACTATTGCAGGAGACAAGCCTTAAGCAAGCACCCTGAAATATGATTTACCATAAAGCCTTATAGGAGTGGGAGAGTTAAGGCGGAGAATATATCGGACACAGTTTTTGCAGATGACATTGCTCTTATAGCGAATTCTGTAAAAGAGGCAGAGAAGCTGATGCAAGAGGTTGAAAGAGTTACCACTACAGTGGAACTTAGAATGAATGAAAGGAAAACCAAATTCATTACACATTTGTTTGGTTGTATTCTTAAGTGCTCGCTTATCAGTTATTTGTTGCTAAATTGTGAGCCGAGCATGCAATAAGGTGAAGCGAGACATACAATCACAAGTACGAGAGTTTATCAGCTGTTTATATACAACCACACTTCTGGTATATATACTGAAACGTGAATTATCGGTTTTAATTCATGTCTGCTTTTTTTAAACCATCGAAGGACAGAGAGGATCTCAACAGCTGGTGGACACAGACGGCAACTCCGATCCTAATGAAAATAAACAGATGGATATCGACGCAGATGAACTATCTAAGAAACTGGATGCATCATGCAGCAACAAGCAACGGATGTGTTGACTACACAATGGGGATATGCCCTCACGGAATAAGTGGACGGACTCTCCACCAGGGTAAAACTACATACAGCAAGCTTCATCCTAAGCCGCTGTAAAAAGTTTACACGTTTCAGCACTGATTCTAATGAGGGCTGTACTTTAGGTTCAGGGTGTCAGCTCTACCACCCAAAGCAAAAACTCGGTTCAACACAAGCAGTGTTTTAAAGAACAATGCACTCTTGTTCATCTGGTGGGAACTAAGCGTGTTAAACCCTCCAAAGATAAAGATACTCGGAAGAAGGACGGCAAATATCCAGGTGGTGAGAGCCGTCCAGATCGGGGATCTTACAGGCGCACTGAGGGTACTTCTGCTGCCAACGAGCCTTCGGAAAAAACGACCGACATGGCAACTCTCAACATTCAACCTCTTTAAATTTAGAGATACAGTACAGAACCTACTCAAAGTGATGCAGGCAAACTTTCAGTCGGAAATAATTTCCCTAAAGAATCAAATAAAATAGCAGGTCAAGAGTCGAAATTCAGCAGCTTCTTCCCAACTGCGAACCAGATGCCTCATGCTCAAATGTTCCCGCCAAAATTTTACATACCTAACTTCCTGTTCCATTTGTCCTTGTATCTTTCAACCGGATATTATCCAACTACCAGTATACAATTTACACTATACATTGCACAGTGCAGTGTACACTGTACACCTAAACTCACGAACATGCAGTAGATGAATCCATAAATTTGGAACATGGGGACATCGAAGTATTGGCTGTATTTGAGTGCTGGGAAGCCTCAATTCGGTTTTCTAAGATGGAAAAAGTAGTCAGAACGGTCCAAAATTGGTCGAGTGACATATTGGGTACTTGTGGAGATATGAGAGCAGCAAACCCCAGATAAGTTCGCACCAAAGTGTCATTGTTATAGAGAAATGTAGCATAATATTTTGTGCTCCTCTTGATTGCAGTAGAATGTCCAACTTCTCAGTGGTATGGGTAACACTATTGTGGCCCCAATATATTCATCACTAAATGTTAAGATCGTAAACAGGGAGACAATTTGGACTCACCCTATGTGTAACCCCATCGTTGATGCTGCCCTCCATGCCAACTCCATAGGTTTACCTCGCATATAGTGATTAGTGATAGACAGTTACCTGAAAGATGAAGTGGTTGGAAAAGTGAACAGACTATATTCAGGGACAAACCGTCCTTTTAATAGGAAAGATGATGTTTTTTTTTATTATTAAATACTTTTCAAATTTTACAGAGTACAGCAATAGATGAATATAAAATAGAATCGTTCAAAATATCGCCCCCATCTGTAAAATATGATGGGCACCCAAACACGGTAAACACATAGTGAACTATGTCCGCAGTAACTTGGACCCATACATAGTAGCAAGCATTTAATGTTTAATGCGGTTTTCAGCGAACCTTTTCGTCGTTGAACTTGAGAAGCATTTTCTTTTCGTTAGCACTACGGGACGAAAAACAGGACACCGGAGTTGGAGATTGTTGACACGGAGAAGTCCAGCACGAACCTGGGTAACTTAAATCAGTCTTATGAGGTGGATTAATTTCGTTACTGAACAAATTTCGATATTTTAAAGTCAGTAGTCGGTACCATCTTTTGCGGTTCGATTTTATAGTAGAATTCATAAGATTTGATATCAGAATCTTGCCATAATTCTGTTATACAGTGGACTGAATGACAGTTAATTAACAAGCACGCATATTAGACGACCTGCATTAGTGCAAGATATCACGTGGACCGGTCACGTGCAAAGCATCTCAACTTCCGCACTATCTGGGTAGTTTGTACATGAGAACCCTCGTTACCATGGTTTCTACGCAACTTGTATTCGTTTACATAATTTGCACGTGGGCGGTCGTACATTATACATTATACAGCAGAAATAATTCTTTGAATTATAGTATTGATGAGAGGTTCAGTTGGTCCTTACTGCTTCAAAGTCAAACACAATATAATCTACAGGCTTTAGTACTTTATAATTATTACTCATGTACGAGTTCTAAATATCATGTAGCTTTATATATTATAGAATATTCGGTGCAACCATATTTTACTTTGAGCAAACAATTGTACCTATATATTCTCATCGTTGAGAGTAGTAGAATATTCTATATCACGTGCTCCGGAACTCCGTTATTATCCAACTTTTAACATAATATACATTTTAGAGGCAGCTTCTAATTTTAGCATGTTTGGAACATCATAAGAAGGGAAGCTTTGTAAGTAAGGGGTATTGTTTACTTTTACGCGATCGTGATATATAAGACCAACAAATTAAGATTTAAAATATTTCTCACGGTAGCAAATATTTTGTAATGCGATGTAACTTCGCTTCCTTTTCATAACATAAAACCGCAGTACTAAACACAGCATGAGCACTTATATCGACTCAGCCCTGCTCATTAATTATTAACACTAGCTGCAGGTATAGCTTATAATTACAAGAATGTTAGTTCACATGTCCATGTCCATCTAAACTTTAATGAAAAGGATTATTGCTAAATAAATGGCCCGCTTGTAACTGATTTTAAACAGACCTGGTATATAATTTTCCATTAAGTTCCTTTGATAGTAAGTCTAGCCAATCTTCGAGCAGTATCCGTGGCATCCGTACTAACGTCAACACACTCTTTCATAAAGTACAGTACTGGAACCAAATTTACGATCTGAAGAGTAAATATCACAATAATTTACAGAAATTATTTGAAACCTACTTGTCAGTTATATCAATTTACAATATATAGTAATCTGCTAGGGCTTTCCTAATATTGATTATACGGTCCGGTTGAGTACACATTCTAAAACAATACCAGTTTAACGATATTTTAATTCAAATTCTACTCTATTCTTCTATTTCAGTCTGTTTCTAATATGAGCATTGCTCCTCGAGGCTCGACCATCTCAAGTTTAATTGTTACCAATTTTAAACGAAAAGTGCTGCAGTCTTCAATCTAAAACTGACCTGAACACTGAAGGCGGCAATGCTTGACATCTTGTTAGTATGAAGTATCCCTTCATCAGGTTCAGGAGAGGTGTGCGGGGATCTTTATTAGCAGGCTTTCCTGGACCACGATTTAGCTGACAGGGTTCTCCTGAGAAAATAAAATAGTCAACATGCGTTTTGCATTTATGTTTGCAACTGTCAGACAGCGACAGGATGCAAAAATATGAACTTTCATAAATTAAATATAAAGAACAAAAGGTACCATGCAGCTGTAAAATTCAGTCAGTATATTTTTAAATGCCTTAATTGGTAATCAGAATCCAGACAAAAGATGGTGGCTTAATAAATACGTTACATAAACTTTATACCAAAAGCATAGACCGTACCTGACTCAATCGATTATTGGTATCGCCGTTTGCACCGTTTACTTAGGGAACAGAGGCGATAATACCAACCGGATAGCAGGTCAATGGCAGTTTTGTCAGATTTGTCAGAGAATTTGGCATGTCTCTAGTACCTTTTGGTCTTCCCAAGATGCTCGATCATGGACATTCTTAAGAAGCTTGTCGATAATTTCAACACTAGGGTAACCTAGAAACAAACACAATTAACTCATAATAGTAAGAGGACATAAATTAGACCATGCAGTACGATGTTAACACTGCGATGTTAACACTGGACGGTTACATAGCGAATGTAGTTGATTAGAATTCCTGCAATTCAAGCAGTTATTCGCATACAAAATCTTTGAAAAGCGAAGCGGGATATGTACAGGAATCTTAACTTACTTTTTGTTTGGTTGCCACCTCTTGGCAAAGAATGCAGTTATCTAGCGTAAAGTTGACCCGAGAAACGTTTCTATTTAGACAAGTTTATAGCAATCTGAAAGTGAGGACGGTTAGATTAAATTAACAGATTACGACAGTAAAAAGTAAGTTCGAATTTCTAACAATTTTTTTGTGCACAAATATTCATGGCATGAGAGTATTAAAGTTGTACAAAAGAGCACACATACCGTACGATTGCAGTTCACGAATGGACAATGTGAAAAATCTTTATTTATCGGGCATCCCTGTGGGAACGCAGAGCGGGCCTACACACGCTTTGAGTTAAGTCTCCATTCATTCCAATAATATAGTACAGTATGGCAGCGAAACAAAGTTGGCAACAATATGATCGTAAGGGTCTTAGATAGTACTACCATATTCCGTTGCGAAATCGTGAACAAACAGACCGGTCCAATTTCAACCACAAACGGAACACTACAAGGAATAGAACATAGATTAAACATTACAACAATAACCCTTGGTAACGTAACGCTTGCGGAGGAATTCAAATATCAAAAAAATAGAATTTATTTTTTGAGCCGCGCATTATTTGACAATTTTTATGTTTATTTACCAATTATATTATATATATATTATTTGGACAAGATTATAGTAATCTGAAAGTGAGGACGGTTAGATTAAATTAACAGATTACGAAAGTAAAAAGTAAGATAGATTAAATTCGAATTTCTAACAATTTTTTATGCACAAATATTCATGGCATGCGAGTATAAAAGTTGTACAAAAAGAGCACACGTACCTTTTGATTGCAGTTCACGAATGAACAATGTGAGAAATCTTTATCTATCGGGCATCCCTGGGGAACGCAGGGCGGGCCTACACCCCACACACTTCGAGTTCAAGTCTTCCTCCACAGCATTCCAATAATATGGTACAGTAGAATGATCCCAGGGGTGAAGCAAAATAGGGAGTGGCAGCGCGACAAAGTTGGCAACAATATGATCGTAAGGGTCTTAGCTAATACTACCATATTCCGTTGCGAAATCGTTGTGAACAAACAAACCGATCCGATTCCAACCACAAACGGAACTCTACAAGCAACATAGATTTAGAGTTCCTACAATTACCCATAGAAACGTAACGCTTGCGGAGATATTCAAATATTAAAAATGTACAGCATTTAGTGTTTTGAGCCGCGCATTTTTGAACTTTTGTCGTGTTTATTTACACAATTATTTGGCGAATGTAATTACAAATCTAAATATCGAAAATATGAGATTCCAGATTCTTAATTTCAAAATTTATGTTTCTTCATACTTAAATAGGTACGTGGCACTAATATTTGTCATTTATTTTGCACGATACGTGCTTTTAAATTTTAATAAGTGTAATGAAACTATAAATTTACTTTATCATTTATATATTATGATTTTGGCCTAATAACTTGGTGAATTAAAACTTTGTGATCGCAATGGATATTTGAAGTTTATTTGTGATATCATTATTTCTGCCGCAACATTGTGATTTTTAATAAAAATTATCAATAACTAGAACTTACAACATATAAAGACGCGCGCGATAAAAATACAAAGTTATTATGAATAATTTATATATAAACAGTTTTTTCAATTAGTAATTTACAATGGAAAAGGTTGTTATATATTAAAATAAAAATAAAAGCGACCAAATGAATCAACTTCAACACGGGAAAAAAAAGTGATGTACATTTTACAATGTGTTTTAAATACAAGTAATCGTATTACTTATATTTTGCATTATATAACGGCATAGTCATACTAATTTATTATATATATAAAAAACAGCAATTGCACATCAAAATTCCCATCAAATGTCAAAAATTAGAAATTTAATGCAGTATAAATATTAACAATAGTTATATGCATGGTTGATGTTGAACTAAACTGTGCAAAAGCTGCGCGCGCAATGCAAACTACAAGCGTTTAGTTGCAAATCAAGGTCTACCGAACTTTGTAGGGCGCGAAACGTTTTTATCTTGACGTGTTTGCGCGTCCTGAGTAATCAGCTCGCGGTGGGTGTGACCTTGTCATACGTTGTATGACTATGACCCGCCGCGCGCACGAAGTGCGCGGCTCCCCCTGTATCGTCGAAGACGAATATAGTGAAGCGACAGTGGGGGTCACCACGTGATACAATTGTGACCCCCATTGTCGTTTCACTATAGTGTAAACCCTGTAGATCGGAGTTTCTACTAGATCGTGCGCGGCAGGGCATATAACGTATGACTAGGGGGTGCAGGATAAAAATAAACTTGCTCGGATTATCAACATTTTTGTACTATTGTTTTCTAGAGATTGTGAAAATTTTCATAGTACCATGAAATTTGTCATATCTTTTTTGGAATGATCAGTGAGTTTCGCCTAGGTGCCATATTTGATGGTGCGCGGCCTTTGGCGTAAAAGAATGAAGAAGGTGTAAACAGTAAAAGTCTCGTAATTTGACGAAATTCGTTGATTTTTGTTGTATTATTCTGTCATATCTTCAGTTCCTTGAATGAGATCATTCTGAAAATTTGTGACAACCTTCCAATGGCAATAGGGCTTTCACATCTTTCCGAAAAATTTGGTGGATATCTAAGTTGATATAGTTAATAGTGATGAAAATGGGGCAAAATACAGCAAAATACGCCGCTGTTAGCTGTTATATCAATATGACATAAAACTTTGATGGTTGGATATGCTTTACATTTTTCGGACATTTTCCTTGTAGATTTATAATTAAGCTAACCAATTGTTGTTAAAATTGGATCAAAGGAAGGTTACTCAATGCGCATTTGTTTCAAGAATTTTGTGCTGGCCGAAATTAGTGACTAGATGTTTTGAAAGAGCATTAAAATGATTCGTATTTTGTAAAAAGTTAAAGCAATGATGTTTACTTAGAAGACTTGATTAAAATTTTAATGCGTTTTTGGGTAAAGCTGTGCGCGAGGCAAGCTGTATTCTCCATACTCCTCTTAAAATAACGAGATTTTAACCTTCTAGTCAGAAAAATCGATCATCGAATTTTTTAACGGGTGATACTCGTAAAATATCTGTTCCATATATTGGACCGTCGACGAGTCCAACTCGGCGCGCGTCCTGGTAGGTTGTAAACCTACAACAAATTTTGTGCTGGCCGAAATTAGCGCTAAAAAACCATCCTACAGTCGGCACGCGCGGCTCACTGTCGATGGCGCACTACCTAGTATGACAATATTTATAAACTGTTCATGCTGTCAGTTGACTGATATTTTGTATTTGCCTGCAAAACCGTTTAAATCATTTTAAGTTGTTCTATACTTATAGTTAGGCAAAACTTGTCTCAATCACACGTCGTGACCCTCATCGCCATTTTATCTACATTTGATTTAGTATATAATAGTAATAGTATCGGGGCGATCGAAAGCCACGATCACGATATTATTATTACAGCTGCGCACTCGTGCGCTGCGCGTTGGGCCTACAATGTGAGGCAAGTTTTAACCCTATTATAATATTATATGTTAGGGGTTTTTAGGAATCAGCACCCAAAAAAACGTTGAATGATGCAACTTTGGAACTTTCACATGCTCAGGGCCCGGCCGTTTGTAAAAAACTCAACATTCTTGGCAAAAGATGATCAATGCAGTATCAATGATTATTATTATTAATGCATGGGATCGGCAATCTTATCACTTATAGTCACTTTCTATTAGGGGGTACGGTGCACGATAAAAATAAACTTGCTCGGATTTTCAAAATGTTTGTACCATTGCTTTCTAGAGATTGTGAGAATTTTCACACTAGTACCAAATTTGTCATAACTTTTTGGAATGATCAGTGAGTTTCGCCTAGGTACCATATTTGATGGTGCGCGGCTTTTGGAGTAAAATTAGGTGTAAAATAAAGTCGCGTAATTTGACGAAATTCGTAAATTTTTGTCGTATTATTTTGTCATATCTTCGGTTCCTAAACATGAATCATGCTGAAAATTTGTCAGAACCTTCCAATCATACTTAACTACCGAACCTAATTTAGTTGGGAGAGATTGGCCTTGATTAAGAAGTCTAAAAATGACAAAATAGGTATAAATCCGTTAATAACTCAAATTCTGACCTTCGAAATTGCTCAAACTAATTTAGGTTCAGTAGGAAATAGGTGTTTACGTAAGCTGACCAAATTTCAACTAAATTGTTATATGGGAAGTATTATAATTTTTTGATTGTTTCTGAAATAATGTGCTGGCCGAAATAAGAGCTAAATGAGTAAAAACGATTCAATGGTCAGCGCGCGTGTCTTACGGTCGATGGCGCACTGCCTATATCTATTTCTAAGCGACGTTAAATTTAATGTCATTATTAATTAAAAATTCCAAACAAGGGATAATAAAATTCCAAACAAGGGATAATATAGTTGAATACAACGCCCAAGTCACAAGTTTAATCTTTCCCTATTTCATTCCATATTTTAATTAATTTGAAAATAAACGTATGGGTTTCCAATTCTGTAGTCAGTGGTGAAGTTGGATAACGTTGCTTTGTGCTTGTTATAATTTAACTGGATGACGTTGTAGGTTTACAACCTACCAGGATGCGCGCCGATTTGACCCGTCGACGGTCCAATATATGGAACAGATATTTTACGTTAAGGATGAAGGGAAATTTAAAAATTTGTGATTCGCGCATGCAGTATGGTGGTCTATCTCTGAAATTAAAATAAATATCGACCTCCGGTTTCACTTTCAGCAAAATGTTTGTCTCGTGAAATAAAACTAAAGTTAGCTTCCAATAGCAAAATGTGGGACAACGTAAGCAGTAAGTTTTGAGTTATCCCAAAAAGTCTTATTTTGGGCCGAATAAAAGTTCACAACTTCAAACTGTAACTTTGCAGATTCCTGTCCTCTGATTGGCTGAATTGTGTCACGTGCAGCTTAAACGGGTGATACTCGTAAAATATCTGTTCCACCGTCACGAGTCCAACTCGGCGCGCGTCCTGGTAGGTTGTAAATCTACAAGTGCAGCTTGGACAATGGAATGCGTCACGCGAGCTCAAACCTCGGCTGTTAAAAAGCACATAACCTCTAGCGAGCCCGCCAGCCGGTATTATTTTGTATCACGTGGTGACCCCCACGGTCGCTTCACTATAGTGTAGAGTTTCGACGATACAGGGGGAGCCGCGCACTCGTGCGCGGCGGGTCATACAACGTATGACAAGTATTATTTACAGCCGGTCAATAGTAAGGTTTTTGAAGAATGAACGTAGTATATATAGAGTCAATGACAATAATTAACAATAACGGGTGATACCCGTAAAATATTTGTTCCAAATATTATTATTAGACCGACTTTTACCTGGGGACCTCAGCTCAGGCTATTATGGTCATAAACATAGAAATTCGGCGGAATGACAGGCTGAGCGCGGCCCAGTAAGAGGTGCAGTGACTTTGAGCAGGATACTCGCATGATCGCTCGATTTTACAATCAACAAT